GATGCGACCGGGACCTTGTTTGGCGAGCTGTTGACTAGGACCTGCAGTGTTTTGCGATGGAGGAGACGGGGTACCTTGTCGCGCGTTATCTGCATCTTGGTCGTCATCCATCCACCCCATCTCTACATCATCATCGTCCACCCTGCCCGGATCCCCCTCCATTGACACATCCTGGGTCTCACCACTCGACTGGGACGCCATCAACTTGGGAAATTCCCGGGCATATGCTAGGGAGGCGTCATCGACCAAGCTACCGACGGTATCCCAATCAACACCCTCCATAATGTATCCATCATGTCGGTCGTTGTCGTCGCGAGTGCCATCGTCCTTCTTCACTGGGGTTGGTGTCCGGCCCAGTTGGTAAAGAACTGGAGGAAGCGTCGGGCATCTTCAGCCTTGCCGTGGAAGGGTTCAGGCGCCTTGACCGGGCTCTTACTAGAGGAGGTCTTGGCAGCTGTAAGGTGGCTGACCAGGGTAGAGATGGCGGTGGTGAGCTGGTTCTGCTGCTCTTGAAGTTTCGCGAGATCGGCAGCGGACATCGTGAAGTCGTCGGTGGTTTGGGAAGCGGAAGAGGGTAAAGTAGTTGGTTGAATGGAAGTGGGAGGTTTCTGTTCTGAGCTTGGAGCGTCAGATGTGTCCTCCAACTGCCGAGAGGTGTGGAGAGGGGGATGGATCGGGCGAGAGACGAAAGAGGCGGGGTTCGTCGGTGTAGAGCGGCCGGAAGAGCTGAGGCGTTGTGCGGAGATAAGAGGTGCGGATGCGGCTAGAGCGGAGTGGAGAGTGCTGAACGATGGGAGGGTGGTTGCTTGTTCGGGGGATGCTGATCGGACGCTAAGGGACTGGACAACTTCTTCTTCGTCTTCCTCGTCGTCGTCGTCGTCTTCCTCGTCTTCTTCTTCGGGGTCGGTGTCGGGATCCGGAAGCTTGAATGAACCAGCTTTGGCAGCGGGGGAGGTGTTTGCGGAACGGTAAGCTTGGTACGGGGTTTCTGGAGATTCGGCGGCGGTGGGTTGTGTTTCAGTTAGGGCGGAGTCCTGGGTGTTGTTGCGGGCGAATTCTTCAACTGCTTGCTGATTAACGGGGGACGGTGATTCGGCGTTTAACTTGAGGGAGTTGATATAGACCCAGTCGTGTACGGAAGGTTCGTGGTAACGGTTGGGGCAGGGCTGTTCGGAGCAGGCGGTCCAACGGTTGAGGCTCGGTAGATGGACGTCTAGGACGATGGGGTGACCGTCGCTGACCCGAACGACGAAGTGCGGCTTAAACAGACAGGAGGTGTCTTCCGGTGCGGCGGAAATCTTGACGGAGTGCGGGGACCAGAGTTGCCAGGGAGGGACCTGATCGGCAGGTCAACCAGGAGCCCAGAAATGCGGATGATGCAGGAGCAACGATCGGCGTTGCCGGTGCACAAAGGTAGCTTGACCTAATGTCGCGAAGAGCGAACACTAAACCAAACCAAAGACCAGAAGAGCGGAGCGGATGAGAGCAGAGAGCGAGATAAGAGCGATGAGCGACTAAAGGCAGATAAATGCTGAAGCGGTGTATTGACGAAGAGGTCAAGCTGAGGAAATACAGAGAAATCTACCTAGTTTATATACCTATTCTACAGTCTACATAGCCGCAATGAGTCAGGATGACGAGCAAATGGTGAAATGCAAAAGAACAATAAGAAGTCATGAGGCTGCGCGAAAGCTGCGCGAAGAATGAAGAAGACAGTGGCGGAGTAACGAGGCAGTGCAAGAATGGAAAGAACAATAAGATGTAGGGCAAAGGGCATAACGAGGCAGTGTTCCATGGGAGAAAGTGTCCGTGTCGAGAATAAAGGCAAGAATAAGAATAAAGAGGAAGTGATAAGGGCGATGAAAGCGATAAGATAAGATAGGGAAAAAATAGGGGCTCGTACCCGCTGTTCACTGACAATCGGCAAGCGCACTGACCTCCGCCCTGTCGACGAACGAGTCCAGCACCTCCAAGAAGTCAGGAAGGACGCCGAGGCAGCTCTTCGACTCGAAAAGGCCCAACAGAAGGACGCATACGAATCCGGCAAACGCTCCGCTCACCAATTCCAACCCGGCGACTACGTCTGGCTTAGTGCTAAGGATATCCAGATCAAGGTACCGACTCGCAAACTCGGTGATCTCCAACTCGGTCCCTACAAGGTCACTAAACGTGTTGGCGATCTCGACTACGAACTCGATCTCCCCAAATCCCTCTCCCGCATCCACCCCGTCTTCCACGTCGACAAGCTCTCCCCCTGGAAAGGCAATGACGTCAACGGCATTTTGCCACCCCCACCTGAGCCTGTCGAACTAGAAGGGGAGCTTGAATACGAGGTTCACGACATCTTGGACAGCCGTTGGAGAGGTCGAGGAAAGAATCGCAAACTGGAGTACTTGGTCAGTTGGAAGGGTTATGGGTCGATGGACGACACTTGGGAACCGGAGGAGAACCTGGAGCATGCGCCCGAGATTGTGAAAGAGTTCCACCAGCGACACCCCTCCGCACCACGTCGGATTTCCGCCACCATCTTCAGCTCCCTGCCCTGGCGTCCACTTGAGAACTTCACCGACGCTCCGCCTATCGACTTCGATTGGGAACTTGGACGCCGCCTACCATTGATCATCGAGGACGATGAAGCTTAGAAGGGGGGTAATGTCGTGAACAGCAAGTACGAGCCCCTATTTTCCCTTATCTTATCTTATCTTATCTTATCGTTTTCATGGCCCTTATCACCTTTTCTTTATTCTCATTTTTGCTCTTATTCTCGACACGGACACTTTCTCCCATGGAACACTGCCTCGTTATGCCCTTCGCCCTACGTCTTATTGTTCTCTCCATTCTTGCACTGCCTCGTTACTCTGTTATTGTCTCCTTTATTCTTTGCGCAGCCTTCGCGCAGCCTTGTGACTCTCCCTATTGTTCTTCTGCATTTCACCATCTGTTCGTCATCTTGACTCATCGCGGCTATGTAGACTGTAGAATAGGTATATAAGCTAGGTAGATTCCTCTGTATTTCCTCAGCTTGACCTCTTCGTCAATACATCTGCATAGCTTTCTGGCTTACAAGTCGCTCATCGCTCTCGCCTCTCTCGTCGCTCTCAGCTCTCTGGCACTTCCGCTCTGGTTTCAAGGTTTGGTTTGGTTTAGTGTTCGCTCTTCGCGACAGGAATGCCATGGCTTCGACCCTCGACGCCGGTATCCCAGTTCGACGCTCCCCGTCACTTTCTCCGTTACCACCCAGTTTGGGACTGGATTTCTCTTGAAACTTTTAACGACTTGGTAAGTCTCTCATCACTGAGGGATCGCGGCGTGATCGCGGTTATCTTATCTTCTTCCTTTTTAGGTCGCCCTTACAGGATTTCGATGGCGCGCATTCGCTCGCCATCCTTCGTATTTTCACTCAGTTTCTTCTTGTCTCGTATTATGCTCGGGGCAACAACACTAGCGGTACCCCCGAGCATCGCCATTATCCCGTCTCCCCTCAACAGCACAGGGATGGCGGTATAGGCTTGGGAAAAGCGCGTTAGGTAGATTTCTGGAGTGATTTAATCAACCTAACGCATGAAAAAGGAAACCGTCCCCTCTGCCAAATCCTAAAGGGGATAGCCCAGATCCTTAAGGCAGGTTGCAAGGAGGCAGGAAGTTGGGCGACGGTTATGTTGTGAGGACGGTCGAGGGGAGTCCGGGAAATTGAAGGTTGGCCCTCCGGGCATGGCAGGACACTGTGCACCTTGGCCTGTAGACCGATCCACGCGGAGGTCGACAACCATTCGAAGCAGCCCACGGCCAGAACCAAATCTCCGCCACGGTCTTTTGATAATTTTTCCAGATATACAAGTTTTGAATACGCCCTGTATTGGTTCCAAACATATATATTACACTTAGTAGTCTATGAATGTACGTGTGAAGAAATCCCCAGGTTTAGTCAGCAGGCGTATCGATACGCCTGCTGACTAACATCTGGTTTCGACCATTCGAAGCAGCCCACGGCCAGAACCAAATCTCCACCACACCGTGGGCTTTTGATAATTTTTCCAGAGACAAGTTTTGAATACGCCCTGTATTGGTTCCAAACATATATATTACACTTAGTACTCTATGTATGTACATGTGAAGTATTACTAGTGTGTTCAAGATACCAATAAATGTGATTAGTGAGGATAACCTAGGAAGGAACATAAAGGAAAGCTAGCTCCAAGAAACCAAAAAGAAACGAACAAAGAGTAACCTCGTCCTAACGACCAGGGGACTGGATATGACCTTTCAATAAAAGCATTGGACGACGAATGTATGCTCAGGTGGAATTTGCGTATAGGTCCAACGCCCCGCATGGCTGTCTTCCACTGCTGAAATGCGATAGGCTGGTCCGAATTCTCCACACCATTCTCTATGTTGCGTAGCCGTCTCAAATACCAATCCTCCCTCCGGCTGCACCAACGACCGTAGTTATCTCCACAATCCGCACGCTCGTATGCTCGAGCAAGCGGCCACCAAGACTTCATAGCGGTCTGCCCCGTTCCTGATTCCCCGTTTAGATCAGTAAAATCGTCCTAAACAACAAGTAGAAAAGAGGGAACAGTACTCACTCTCGTCAATGCAAAGATACGCCCCACATATCAAATCGAGCTCTCTTGCCGGTCAAGCTATCGTCCACGTACTCGCCCATGCCGTTTTGAAATTGTATAGATACAGTAGCCCCGCAGCCCACAGGTGGTTTCTGCACGTCACCCAGACCAAGTGTTGCGACAGCCAGGCGCCAGATGATCCCCCCACGACGCAGTGCGGCACTCATATGGGGCTGAGCCAGGACCAGAGTCCTAGTATTGATGTAGCTTTCGTAGTCGGCTTTTGTGAACTTATGACCCAATGATCTGACTGGCAAGGGGTTGTAGGAAGGCGTGCGGTAAAGAGGGGCGGGGATGTGGTGACGAGGGAAGAAAAGTCGGAAGGGTATCCCTTTTTGCGCGAGGGCAAAAACGACGTCGTCTTCATTGAATTCCTCAGCCAGACGACACACGAACAGCGCATCCACTCCACTGAGCACGGCCAGCCTCCCAAACCTTGCTTGTCTCTGGGGGCTCGAAATAATAGTAACGGGGGACGCAGTCGGACAGGCCCTCGTCAACAATGTCTACGTTTGTCCACTGCGGTATCGAGACAATGCGGAGGCAACGAAGGCGAGAGCGGTGCTTCAGAGGATGTATGACATCGTCCTTGAGGTCCCAAGAACCAGGGTGAGGAGTCTGCCGATTCGAGTGGGAGTGGATAAATTGAAGCGCTGATCGATAATGGGTCGACGCGAAGTACTCTTCCGGCTGTTCTTCGTCGTCACAGAGTCCAAGCAGGCGATAGAAGTCCCTTCGAACCCTAGGCCCGTCGTCCGCAGCGATAGAGACGGAGGGCAATGGAGGGACGAATCCATAGTGAAGCCCCAACGTTTTATTGACCTCGTCTTCCAAACAAGCTGCCAACCAACTCGTCGATACTGTGAACATGCCCTCCTCGTCTTCAACAAGCGTCGTGTTAATGGCCATTGATTGCTCTGCTAGATTGAGTGGCTCAAAGACGGATCTTGACGGATTCCCTCCCCCCTGTCCCACCGCCAACGAAGGTGAAAGAGGAAACTCCTCCATCACTGCACCCACCTCCTCTTCATCCTCGTCGTCGACGTATGCACTGTAGGCTTTGGTTATTCTTTGCCTCAGCGATTCCGGTAATGGGAGGTCCAAGTCCTCCGGACCCCACTCATCCAGGTCGATCTCTTCGTCACCCTTGCCAAAGTATTCGCAACAATCCCATTCTCTGCAAAATGCATCAAATACTTTCTGACGGGCACTGTAAAGTGCAAGGGTGTCTCTCGAGTTCTTTACTCCAGCAGCGACTCGCTCGTATACGTTTGGATCTCGCTCGGAAGGATACCATTCGTACACCCGCACGTTAGAAACCGGCGGGTTGGCTGCTCTATCTTCACGGGACTGACGCTGTGTTGCCGTTTCTTTTTCCATGATTCGCGCATGTAAGTGTTCGTGGCGTTTGAAGTGAGCCACCCAGGCTGGCTCGGGCTTGGAACTTTCGTAGCGTGTCGTTGTCGGCGGTGAGGAAATCGAGGTCTGGTTTCCGAGAGGCAGCGGTCGTTCAAGTTTTCCTGTTGGTCTTTCATCGTGACTCGTAATCTCATGAAGTCTTGTGGTGGGCGAAGACGCAGTCGAGGTCTGCACCCCAGGAGACAGCGGCTGTTCAGGTCTTCCTGTAAGCAATTCAGGAGGAGGGGCCAGGGAACGATCAGCTGAGGCCATTTCCGCAGGACCCCATCGGTACCACACTGGTATCCCATGATTCACGAGCCATGCAACAGTTGGTTGGTCCCCCGGTGGGTTAACAATGTCCACGATACACCCGATTCGGTCTGCGTTGTAGGAGAAATCGCTCAAAGACGAACGAAAAACGCCGTCAATCCATGCCATTTCGACCTCGGATTCCAATTCGGTGTGCCACTCTGGGACATGGCTGCTGAGAGTGAAAGCGTCTCGTTTCGATTCGCCATACGCAATCAGGAAAGACAGCGCCCCCCACCAAACCGAAAACCAATCCCTCGACAATGCAACAGCCCGATCATAGCTCCTCCGATTTCTGAACGTTTTCTGGTACCCGTGAGCCCACGGCAGAAACGGGAGGACCAAGGGTGCCGTGAATTTTGACTTGAGTTTCGTGACAGCGCCGAATAGTTCAGCCTCCAGCCTGGACCAGCTGTGGATGAAGGTATCGGGCATACGGTACACCAAATCCCCCTCAGAACCAAGGCTTAGGGGATGGGGGATGCGCTTGAGTCGATTGAAGGGGAATCCAGGGTCCGAGTAACGCAACGGAACGAACGCCATCCATCCAAACGCGAGAGTCCATAAACGGGGGGTGGAAATGTCTTGAAACCTCGGGTAAAGTGGTTTGAACTTCTCCCCTGAGGACAATTGAGCAGGGTTGGAAGAAGACGGGGCGGTCGGTCGATGGAGTTCTCGGCGTCTTGTCGGCTGAAATGGGTTTACATCCTGGTGGAGGTATGGGTCTTCTTGAATGTCAAGCGCCCTGCTGCAGTTCGGAGAATAGTACAACTCTCCATTCACCGCTTGAAGACGTCCAGGTGCTGAATTCTAAACAGCAATTAGCTCCCAATTTCTACATGTTCACAATCTCCATCAGACGTACCTTCATACCACTACGCGTCAATTCCATTCCCTGGAGCTTTAGAGAATTCCTTGCCCTCCAGTATCCCAACCAAACCGTCCCTGGAACAAACGCAATACGCAAGCAGCAACGTCTCGGCGCCTCGACCAGTGCGAGCACGACAAGAGATTGGCCTGGTTAGAGAACGTGGTCTGGTGCAGGTTACTCGACGCCTCGTCAACGAGCACGACGATCACCTTTCAGTGTGATGTGAGAGGAGAAAACGTTACGACTTCCCGACGCCTCGGCTCCGAGCACGAAGGGATGCAGTCGAAGTGGTGGTGGTTGTTAATGTTAATGAGGCCAAGAGACGCTCGGTCCCTGAAGTTCCCATCACACCGCCACTGATGGGTTCCCGCGCGAGCACTCAGACCCTTCAGCCACAAGGGCTTGTTCTCATCCACGACTCCCTTTGACAACTTCCGTTGTTTCGTGCTCGGAATCGAGGCGTTACAATGGAGGTCTACTATGGTCTACCACTGGAGTACGATCTTTTGCTTCGTGCTCGGAATCGAGGCGTTGCATGAAGATTTCAGCCACAAGGGCTTGTTCTCATCCCTCCACCGCGACTCCCTTCATGACAACTTCCAATGTTTCGTGCTCGGAATCGAGGCGTTACAATGGAGGTCTACTATGGTCTACCACTGGAGTACGATCTTTTGCTTCGTGCTCGGAATCGAGGCGTTGCATGAAGATTTCAGCCACAAGGGCTTGTTCTCATCCCTCCACCGCGACTCCCTTCATGACAACTTCCAATGTTTCGTGCTCGGAATCGAGGCGTTACAATGGAGGTCTTCTATGGTCTGCCGCTGGAGTACGATCTTTTGCGCTTCGTGCTCGGAATTGAGGCGTTGCATGAACATCGGTCTCGGGCACTGGGATTCTATCATGTTCGCGGCTGGATATGAGGTGAGCTTATTGAGGCTCGTCAGCTATTCGGCGACATACTAACTAACCCAAATCCTTCAGGGAATGCGCCACTTCGGAACAGCCAATCCGTTACAGCTAAGGGAAGAACGTGGCGCGAGCAACGGAAAAAAAGTTCGCTCAGGGGTCAGGCCAATCAGCAAGAACAATTTCATTCAGCACATTTTATGAACGAGTGGGACGACCTATGTACACATAGAAAAAGCTAAAAGGCGATAAACGACAAAGGTGATAAACGACAAAAAGGGGGTAGGGGGAGTCAGTCCATCAAGAGAGCAAGATATAGATGATAACGGGCATTTTGGGACCTCATCGACTGCCGGCGCCTCCTTTGTTCAACTGATCAGCCACCATCTGGAACAAAGAAGCCATATCGAGGCCAGGTGTTCCGAACTGCGGGATGTTCAGTTGTGGGAGGGCAGCAGGATGATGCAGCGGATTAGGTGCCGCCGACGTGGACGCTTGAGGTGGCGGAGGGGGAGGTGGTGCATTCGACGTCGACGCTGGAAGAAGCTGCTGGGACGCAACAGAGGCGTGTTGCCCTAACAAATGCAAGATGCCCGCGAGGTCAGGATTGATGCCAGCGGGTGGAACAGCAGAAGGAGGGGCGCCGGATAGGGGGAACACCTGGGGGCCCGAAGCACGAGACAACGCAATGGGTTGGAACGAGGATGAGCCCATGGTGGACGTCGGCACCGATTGCGAATGGGCGCCAGCCAAGAAGGGTTGAGGAGGCGCAGGCGAGGCGGGGTGAGTCGCGATTGTCGGCCGATCCCCGTCGATCAATGGCATGAGTGGCCCCGAGCGAACCGACGGAGGTTCGTCCGTTTTCGTCTTCTTCATAGGCGAGTGCTTCAAAATCAGGTCGTCCGTTTTTGAACTGGTCGGTTTTCTTGCCTTTCTTGTGCGCAGGCGCTTTGCCCTTGGCTCGCGGGGTCGTTTGGTCGTCAGAATCCGATAACTCGATACAGGGGGTTGCAGACCGCGAGTCGGCGGCGTTGGAGGAAGAGTCAGAGGGCGCCTCGGAAGCCACTTTGGCTTTGGGCCGTTTGAGGTGTGCCCCATGCACGAATGTCGCGGAGGCGATATCGTTGACAAGCACCGCGGGGGGCCCCTTGCAGTCGACACTCTGATCGAGGAAAAAGCGATGTCCAGCGGGGACAGGCCAGTCGCCCAAAACGTAGGAGTCGTGAGTCTTGAGGTTATCCATCTGATCTCCAGTCAACATTGGCGGCGCCGTGATGATGATCGCTTTACGGGAATTTAAAAAATCTACAGCCACAGGTTAGAGCGAGGACACATGAACTACGCCGGAAAGACTCACCGTCGGTGTCCGCAGGCTCCAGCACAAGTTTCCCATTGGGGGCGGTTACAGCGTCATAGCAAATTCGGAGATGTCCCACAGAGACGCCTTTGAGGCCCTGGCTGGTAGAATTTGTCTTGCCCTTCGTCTCTTCGCCCGGAAAGACGAATCGTACAGGGTAGTGGGTAAGAGATATATCCGAAGTGGGCGAGTTTTTTGTTGAGATGCTTCCAAAGACGATTGGGTGCGACTTCCGCCGCTGGGTCCATACACACTGCGAAGTCCACTTAAGCACGAGTGCGGGGATGGCAACGGATAGGCTTACCCAAAATGTTCTTTAATAGTTTGCCAACCCAATCGACCAAGGCATCTTTGGTGAAGACGGTCAACAGGGGCGGGTTTGGCACAACCATAGATACACGGTCGTCGAGAATGGTCCTGCATCCAGCCTTGGTAGGGGAAGCGTCGAAAGCAGGAACGGGGTTGGCGGTCGATTTTAAGGGCTGAGGGGTCGAAGGGGTACCGGCGATACCGCTCGAGTTGCGGTAGCCCTGGAGCGGTGGCTGTTTCGCAGGAGATAGGTGTTTGACGGGTGAAGACGCCTTGGATACCTTCGTGTTGCCGAGTGCGGGGTCCGCTGCCTTCATCTGCTTCAATAAATCCTGGGAATTGTTCTGGGAAACCTTCTGAAGCGCGTTGACGGACGGGTGAGTCGAGCTTGAAGATATTCAGTATAACGGCGTTGGGAAGATGAACGTTGGACCTTACCACGACCATGTACGGGCTAACCCGAGGATATCATCAGTCGACAGACCTGTCAATTTTTCGAGGAACTGGGGGAGGAGGTGAATATATATGCAGAACCCAAGTAGACGCACTCACCCCCTGTAAACCACTGGATGTGTCGAGGTGTATGAAGTTCTGGTCTTGATGGATCCCTGCACCGACGCACAAGACGATGGCGGCAGCGTTGGCCCTCTCGGCAGTTCTGATCAGGTTCGAGGACGAGTGTTTGAAGCTTTCAAGGAGATTGCGGCGAGCCACGGCGGTCATCTGGGCCGTGTTTGCCGTCGAAAGAGTGTCGCGTAGGGCTTCGAGTTTTTTGTCGAGATCGCCATTGTCCTTCGCCCTGGAATAAGCGTCCGCAGCTAAGTGGAATGGCCGAATGAGTAACATGATGAATCAAGACGGAGATGCCAACACTCACCTTCTGAAGGCATCAGACCAACGGCGGTGGAACCTCCTGCAGCCTTCCTTGCGTTCGCGATGATGCCGTTGGCGCGGTTGAATTCGTTCCATTCGTTGCCTTGTTGATGGTGGGCATAAGTCTTGAAGTATTTCGCGACAATCGAATCCTTGGTACGGCCAGACTGGGAAGCCGCAATGTCGAATGCCGAATCAGCTTGTCGTAGGCCCGACTCGAGTAACTGCTTTGTTTTCTCTGGTCCATGGGTCGTATCGGGAATCTTGGACCACACGACGTCCTTGCCCTCCAACATCCTTTTCAAGATTGATCGGACCCGGCTAGCCACGATGCCTGTCTGCGCCGATATGTCGTCAACGAGCTCGTCCACGGCGCTAAACACGAGCTCAATGACTCTGTGCGTTTCCTTGGAGATGCGACCGGGACCTTGTTTGGCGAGCTGTTGACTAGGACCTGCAGTGTTTTGCGATGGAGGAGACGGGGTACCTTGTCGCGCGTTATCTGCATCTTGGTCGTCATCCATCCACCCCATCTCTACATCATCATCGTCCACCCTGCCCGGATCCCCCTCCATTGACACATCCTGGGTCTCACCACTCGACTGGGACGCCATCAACTTGGGAAATTCCCGGGCATATGCTAGGGAGGCGTCATCGACCAAGCTACCGACGGTATCCCAATCAACACCCTCCATAATGTTATCCATCATGTCGGTCGAGCACGATGCGGCGCTTGCATTGGAGTTGGACGCCGCTACCAGCCTGCCCATATCGCCAATGGAGATGGTGAATGGACCCGGACCGCAATAGGAATCCAAGACGCTGGCATGCAGCGCGCCCGATTGAACCATGCTGGAAAGTTGATCACGGGTGACGGAGAAGGGGGGCTGGCGAAAGAAGGCGAAGACCACGGGCGCCAATACTGCCCAGAGCTGATGCGGAAGAAGGGGCGGCCAACGGTGCGGGAGCGACGCCGTTGGGCTGAACCAAGGTCGACTGTGTAGGTGTGGCAGACGTCGACGAGGTGGCCTGGGCAGCTATCGAGGGTACAAAACTCGAACTGGGGAGGGTAGTGGACGCGAAGGAAGACGGCGGTTCATGAGTCGACGATGCCGAGGAGAGAGTGGACGCGAAGGAAGGCGCGATGGAAGACGGCGGGGCTAAAACCGACGACGAGGAGACCGTGGATAGAAGCCCAGTGTCCATGGACGCGAACACAGACGGCGGGTCCTGAGGCGACGACGACGAGGAGATAGTGGTCGGCATGGACGCTGACACCAAAGACGGCGGTGCATGAACCGACGTCGAGGAGGCAGGTGTGGACATCAACCCTGTGGTACCCGGCGGCGCCAGGAAAGGGTCGGGTGACGGAGATCGCTGGGGGAGTTGCTCGCTCACAGGGACCTCGACCAGTTTGGGTTTCTTCGCGTGACGCCCTCTAGGCCGAGGTTTGGGAGGCGATGGCGGTGTACGAAGGCGACCTCGCGTCTGTCCACGAGTGTTTCGCGCCGGGGTACTCCCAGGAGATATACTGGCCGTGAAGATACGATGCTCGCTATCATCGACGTCGCTCGCCACGAAAGCGTCCATGTTGATGTGTGCTTTCGCCGGGGTGCTTCATTCTAATGTGGAGAGCAGAACTACAGGTGAGTAACGTCCTCCTCAGCACGCATCAACAGACCAGAGCTCACTGAGGTTCGGGGAACACGCAGGCAACGAAGCCTCAACAACGATGAGGGTAAGGCAGCTAATGTGGTGGAAATGGTGAAACGACGATGAGGGTAGGGCAGCAAAGATGGTTGAACTGGTGAAAGGGGCGCAAGACGGGGGTATGTGTGGGCAAGAGAGGGATAAGTAAGACGACGCTCTCTTGTCTGGTATATTTATCTGACCTGAGCCATCCCGTTACAGGACTAGGGCGAGATTAATTCGATTCAATTGTGACGGGCATATGCCGAACACATGTTGACCTGCCGCAGGCGGGTTTTGCGCTTAAGCGGACTTCTGCGAATCATTGGAAGCGCGTCCTTTGGCTAGGGACCTTCTTTGCCGTCGTTATCGTCAGATGAAGCGCGTTGTTTGTAGGGACCTTCTTTGCCGTGGTTATCGTCAGATGAATCGTATGTTGGGTTGACATGCACCTGTAGAGGCCCCATGTTTACCTGCCCCAGGCAGGTTCCGCGCTTAAGCAGACATCTGCGAATCCTTTGAAACGTGTTCTTTGGGTAGAGACATTCTTTGCCGTGTGTTATCGTCAGATGAATCGTATGTCGGGTTGACGTTGAGAATCCTTGGAAGCGCGTTCTTTGGGTAGAGACCTTCTTTGCCGTGGTTATCGTCAGATGGAGCGCGTTGTTTGTCTAGAGATATTCTTAGCCGTGGTTATCGTCAGATAAATCGTATGTCGGGTTGGCATGCGCCTGTAGAGAACCCCCGTCATACAATGAATTGCCGCGCGGAGCAGGCTTTAAGCTTTAATAGTGGAACAGTCATTTGGAAGATTGGGGTTTAATGTGATATGATCCGTAAACCTATCGTGAGGTGGCCGCTCCCTCGACACGCGGCAATCGTCAGACGAATCGTGTGTCTTGTTGGACGTTCTTCGAACCTGCCTCAGGGCCCGTGACTGGGAAATCGGGGTTGCGTGCAAGTTACAAGAGTGCCATGTCACGAAGGGCGGGAGAACTCGAAAGGATGGCCAACAGAATGCAAGTTTTCCATAGCTTCGTCCGCCCATACATTTGCCATATACATTTGCCATCCATCGAAGTTGAACCCACCCCCTCAGCGATCGAAGCCGTGATCGCCGGACCAATCACCGGGCCGTGAATTCTCAGAGTGCACATTGTTCGTGATGATCGAAAGTTGATAGTCACAAAAAATGGTTCACTAATTTGACCACACATGTGTACCTCGACCAAAGCGAAAGAAATGGCAACACAAAGCTCGTGACATTGACACAAATAATGGTATACGTAGGGGACAGCAGGAATCGATGGTAACAGACAGCGCACATGGTTACAGACAGCGGCGATGGAGACTCCAAGAAGGTGAGGGGAGATAGTAAAAGCGACTACTGGGTACCAAAAAGCTTCCTCAGGGTTTCCTCGTCGTCGAGGGCGGCCATGAGAAGTTCCACGGCGTCCTTGATATGGTACACCTTTTTGAAGGGGGTCTTCTTGGCAGCTTTCTCGGCGGCGGCCTACGTGAGGATTGGATAAGGGAGGGTGATCAGATAAGACGAACCAAAAACACAAAAGCATTGCTAGGAGAAAAGGAAAACCAAAACCGAAACGGAAAAAAAAAAGAAAAGCTAGAAATACTCACATAATTTTTGAAAATCCCCACACACCCATCGCCTCGAGTGACAACATAGAGGGCTTCCATCTTCCCGACAACAACCTTGTTCCTCACACGGCAACTACCACACTTGAAGATCCCCTCACGAGTTCCCTCAATAACGTCGACGAATGCGCCGGTGTAGAGATGGCAGCGTGAAGCGCTATCCGGGTCGACATCGATGGGCACGTCGGTGTGGGTAGCATCGTCCATCGCAACTGTGTCCTGGGAGTTGTTGGGAGGGATTTCCGCGTTGGCGGCGGCGACGTTGAGACCAACTGCCACACATGTTAGGCGACGCTTGGAGTGATAAGGGGAGCAAAGATATCTGACCTTGGACAAGGGGAATAGTAGCCATGGTGTAGGAGTATTGCAGTGGTGTGTGGACTGGGTTTATCTGGCACAGCGTCGTCTCTAATATATCATTGCTGGGCTCGGGACGTCTTCTTCGGTGACTGACTCGGAAGAAGCTCCCTCCCGGTAGGATGACGTAGGATTTTGCCCGTTTGGGCGTGCCTGCAGTATCGAGCAAAGATCTGATGTCACGCGCTGACGGCTGTTCAGATAGGTTCAGATGGGAGCACGGCTGGAGCGCGCTTAACAGACGACGTTTTGTCTATACCTCCACCGCTCATCGACCAACCTCACCTTTTTTGGGTAGTAGTTACCCACCTTCTGGGCGGCTATCACCTTCTCGAATGACCGAGGCCGAGTGATTAGCTTTCAGGGATGGTCGATATTCCCCTAATTGTGAACCCACTGCGGTCAGAGGGAGAATTCGCCATCTGAGATCGTCATTTCCGCCGGGAAACGTCTATCAGACGGCAGAAGGTTAGTTACGGTAAAGTCCGTCCAGGTTGCCAGATTCATTGATTTTTTCGGAAGTAGACTGGCACCTTCTGGGCGGCTATCACCTTCTCGAATGACCGAGGCCGAGAGTGATTAGCTTTCAGGGATGGTCGATATTCCCCTAATTGTGAACCCACTGCGGTCAGAGGGAGAATTCGCCATCTGAGATCGTCATTTCCGCCGGGAAACGTCTATCAGACGGCAGAAGGTTAGTTACGGTAAAGCCCGTCCAGGTTGCCAGATTCATTGATTTTTTCGGAAGTAGACTAGCACCTTCTGCTCGGCTATACCGTCTTGACTGACGGCAGAAGGTCGACTGACGCAAGCCGATGTTTGGGCCTTCAGGGAAGCACGACATTCCCCAGAAGGTGAATTCTCCGCAGTCACAGGGAAGATTCATCCTGATTGCCGCATCCACTGATAGACAGGGGGTCTGTCTCCAAGTGGATGGTCTCCTCCGCTCGCATACAGTCCTCCATCTGTCTGACCTGGCGCGGATATCGCTATGGACTTGAACAAGGACAGAACCAACGACGTCGCCATCCGAACTCTCAACTCTCTCGACGACTTTTGGAACATATTGCACCCTCCCAGTCTGCACCCAGGACCGCCTATTGAACCTCCTTCCATAGTCGATGCCCGGGAGGATGGCTATCTTCCAGATGAATGGCCTGCGGGAAATTATCGAGGATGCGGATCCCCGGGTATACAATGATTGGCTTGAACGAGACGTGCAGGAAGCTGTCGTTGCCGCCGGACCTCTGCTTAAGCCGTACGACTACCATTTCGATGTCATGGAAATTATAACCTTCTATGCTGTCACTTTGGCCCGCCTGTACCAGGCGCCGCAAACTATTCCCAAGGGGGAAACGGACACAGTCTCCGACGACAACGTTACCACACGCCAACCGAACTTCGAAATGTTCTGGAAGGGAATGAGAGAGATTTTGGAACCTTACCTCAATGAGGAACGTGTGGGACCAATGAACACGTACGATGAACGTCGCGCAGTTGGTCATTTGGTGTTTTTTGTGCTTGGGGCGTGGCTGACGCTTAACTCCTCACAGTATTACAGGGTCCATTTTGGAAACTCGGGCCAGTGAAATCTGCGAACAGAAACAAAATTCCAAAGAGTCGCGAAAAGAAGCACTGGAGTGCTGACTTTGATTTCGTTGCTCAATACCGCCACAAGGTGAGGATCTCTCCGGAGGGCTCGCCCATGATACTGATGCCTGTGAAGAAATTCATCGATCATTACGTTCACCAACCTGATTGGAGGCTGCAAAAAAGAAGGGAAGAGGTTCGGGCTCGTCTAGACCATCATCAGGAGCGGGTTGCCATGTACTGGCGGCGCTTCCCAAGTCCCAAAGGCAGGTCATCGCCTTGCAGTGAGAGGAGGTGCAAATGCGTACAGAATATCGGAGTCACTCGGTACTAGCTTCGTGAAACTTGCCTATTAGTCGCTACGAAACATGTGGAATTGTCAAGACAGGATATACGTATAATGTGATACACGATTGCGTTTATAGGACGATGGGATTTTCCGGGTTGTCACCCTCGTCGGACGGGCCGCTCTGGTCGCTCTCTCCAGTAAGATCAATGGGCGCTTCCAGTGATTCACCTAAGCCTTCGTACGCCGACCGTGTGGTGGGGACAGCACTGGGCGGTGTCGTGACTATTGCACTGGGAGGGTCGACGCCGCCTTCTCCCTCGAGCAATCGAAGAACTTGGTTCTATATATGGAAAGCGAACGCACGAATGAGAATCGGAGCATAATCATGAATAAAATAGGCGCGCGCTCACCGCAACGAGGTCATAATCCGGTCCGGGCCGCAAGGCAGCAAACCGCGTGCCAGGTGATCGGAAGCTCGATCCTAGGGCCCGTCATGCGGTGGAAAGTCAACGAGTTCAGCACAGCCTGGTGTCCTCAGAGTGGTCAGTAACAATCTCAATGCAATGCCGTGCTGGGGAATAAGCCTACCATTTCCCGACGATATACGCTGGCCGCAAAGTCATCGTCGGACTGGGAATTCTCCCGCGGAATCGGCCACCGCGCCCTGTCGTGCATGTAGAAGTCGAGAAGAAACTTCTCCCGACCTCCGCGATGGCATGCCTTGGCATAGAACAGCGCACCGACTCGGTAAAACTGCTCCATCTGTTGGGTTTGTGAATGAGCGCGGGGTTCGTCGGGTAACATGGCGGTGCCAAGTCAGGGGGAACAGGTGATACGGTCTTCGCGTTGAGAGTCCTGCCTTTATGCGTGGTGGTGTCTGGCTTGGGTCCTTTGTTGGACATTTAGCGGGTTCTTACCGCAGGGAACACGAGGCGCACCCATTAATAATTACTCATAAAGCGCTTCCGGATTCTCACTCGCGGGGTTGACTGGCGTTTATGGCATCGCTGTAACTCGGCCTAAGATCTTGATCAAGACAGTGCAATCGTTGGGAGTTTAACCTAAGATTATCGGTAGATCGAATACACTATCTAATACGCTTGTACGATTTTGTGGTTTGGGCAGACCCGTTTTGAACATGCGCTGTGGGGTTGTTACGCTTCCACGCGACTTGGAAAGCGAGTTCCTCCTTGTGGAACGCTCGAGTGAAGTCGATATGGGAGAATCTGGCCTCCAGGTCCAATTCCTCCACCCAGAGTAGATATTCTCGTACTTGCCGCGATACCTGGATGGCCTTGAGGTAGTATGTGCCCGTAATTGTGCCCTCTTGATTCAACAACATCCTCTCAGCATCGTGCGCTTTCGCGAGGATCGAGTTCACCTGGGTTTCTTCCTTCGCAATGGAGGTGCGGTCTTTGCTTTGAATGAATTGCGAGGCCAGTTGTTTGGCCCTTTCGTACGGACTGCACGATGTAAGTCGGCGGAATTCCAACCTAGCGGTTTCCATGACATCGTAGGCTGCTAGTATATGCGGAGGACTGAGGTCGCCGTGTAACCAGCTATATCTTGGCAGGGAATAGGGAATTATTGCGCTCACCATGAGTCTCTCTCTGTACGCATCGATGAAGGTTCGCGCCCTGGCTGGGAGGAGGGTGATACTTGGCGCCTGGAGACGAAGCGTGTCAGCGGCGGTCCACGGAGGGGGGGGTGGTCCAAGCGCACGTAATTGGTGGGTGACTTACTTGCGTTGGGGGGGCCCATAAACTACTCTTCAGAAAGGTTGGCTTTCCGTGAGGGGGCGCGGTAGGAGTAACTTACTTCTGATAGTATCGTCTATTCTTCAGGCTTATCGCCCGTTTTTGCTCCTCCTCCGTAGCGTACTTACGTGGGCGACCTCTGGGCTTGTGCAAAGTCTGGTCCCGTTTGCGGGTCGGGCGCTGGGCAAGAATCTGCTCTCGATTGCTGAGGAATACATGAGCCGTCGCCCTGAGGAAAAGGTTTGGCGCTTACCGGTGATAATACTCGCGAGCCCTCTCCCGGGCAATGGCCTTCTTTTGGGCACTCGCGTCGTGGTCGGTCGCCATCGTGGCATGAGGTTAAGGGATGGTGATAGTGATGAACTGAAAAATCGTAGCTTGTCGGTCCCGCAACACGCCTTGGAGTGGCTGTGCATACGAGCGCCTATTGCGAGTGGTTTCGCGGACGATATCTGCTTTCACCGTTCGCTTGTGTTTGACAGGATAGTGCGCGATCGTCTACTGTGTCACAGTAGATTCTAGAATGGCGTCTGTGGGAATCGCGGTGGGCACCAGAGATGTTGAGGGTCCAGGTTCCGTTGCGGGCGATAGTCGTACACCGAAGGCTTAGGGTGAAGAGATGAGAGCTCTCATGATTCAGACCTTAAATCGAGGTCTAACACACTCTCCCCCCAAGGGTCCAAAATAGGTCAATTAGACAGGCTAGGGCGTTCACCACTCACATTTCGCTGACAAGACACTTCTGGCGATTTGGAACGGAGTCCTGAGGGTAGTTATTTGGCTCGGGCGCCTAAGTCGAATGAATATTAACTCTCCATTCGCTGGTGTTCCCCCGGGTTGCCACCAATTGCTACCAATACACACTGCCGAAGGGCTAGTGGATATATCCGGCGAGCAATCATGGGAGTTGAGGCGGAGGTGTCGTCATGGTTGAAACTCTTAGGGTGCAGGACTGGTCTCAGGTGATTCAGACTTTAAATCGACGTCTATCGTACATCCCCAGGAGGTCAAAGACAGGTCCGTGGTCTCTCAAACTGCCATCTCTCGTCACATATACCTGCGCTCGTTTGTTTTGCATGCTCGTCGCTGACATTCCTGAGGGGACCTGCACGTGTGGACTTGGTGACAGTCTTACGCCGAGGAGGAATGTTCAAGTAATGGGCTGTCACCTTCAGACTTTTTATCGAGGTCTAACCCCCGACGATGACGGGGTCGGTTGTTGTTCTCAAAAGTGGGGACGCTCCACGGCCTGCACTGATCGCGATCGCCAATCTATGTGAAGTACTGGGTTCATGAGCAACAACAAGTATTCAGGTATCTATATACATGCGGGTGGTCAAGCGAATAGTCTAACCAACGGGAGAAGACGCCCTGGAGGGGAAGGGAGTGCATGTGTCACAAATGCTGTCTGCCGAGGATACCGAGTCCGATTCGCCCTCCCCTCTGCAGGATTCCAGTCGGTAAGTAGCCCACCCTTTTCCCTCCTCCCTGTTCTGGGGAAGGACTACAAGCCGCCAGTCGTGAGTAGATTCACCCAGGCTTTCATAATAATCGGTGGCTAGAATACGATTTCCTGGTTCGTCATCGAGTTTCGCTAGAATGGGTGCCTGCGAGGCCAAGTTAGCATCGCACTCTGGGTCGTGTTAGCCTGTACTCACTGCCATCTCATCCCACTCCGTGCTCTCGAGGCCACACTTGATCTTTACGAAGTCCTTCCAAGGGATAGGAGGCTGAAACCACGGCTGCACGCCGCTTAATACCCGGAGTTCACGTTCCAGGCGCTGTGAACAGGTGGGCTACTAGGTCAGTCACAAAGACAAATCGATAGCCTGAAGGGGTCACTGACATCACGGACGTCTCCAACCAGATTCATCAGATCCTCTTCATCAGCGTCCGGGAACCCAGGGATGCATAACGAAAACCGAGTGAGGTACATGTCAATGTACGCGTCTACGAATTCCTGGCTTTCCTCCGCCGCCATGAATTGCATGGCGCCCACGCGGGCGAACGCGAACCGTTGCTCCGCGAGGGGAACCTGGCGCAGGGGGTGACTGGGCCACGGGAAAGTGGGTGGTGGGGCGTGAAATTGAACGGGGTGGTGCGGAAAAACGCAAAGTCGAGGTCGTCGATGACCACAGGCTCCATGTTCGGAGGACGGACCTCTCGGAGGGGATGCATGTTTGGGTTTTGGGGTGGGTCCATAGGAGACACTGGGAGACGGTTGCCGCACATGGGGGAGCGCCTCAACGTTGAAGGGAGAGGGGGGAGGGAAAGGTTGAAGACGCCTTGTTCCGTACCTGTCGTCTTATGTATGAGAATCTTAACAGCTTCTTTCCCTGGGTTCTCCCCGAAGACGGCGCACGAGCCAGGTATGCCTTTCAACTCCTCGACGACGGCGCACGAGCGGAGGTCATCCCTCCTACACCGGTTTGCCCCTTTTTGGCCCGAATTAGATGGGCGAACCTTCGTGGCAGTGCCTGGCATTTGTCTTCTAAGTCGCTCCCTTGTCATCGGGAGAGCATTCTGCTGGGTGTTGGTGAATCAGATGGTCGCCAGTGGTACACCGTCCGTGCTTCTTCCCACACGTTCCCTCACCGTGTCTGCCAGCTCGCTTTTGCCAACCATGTCCCGCCCCAGGAAATACCTTTCGCCAGAGGATAAGCTCACGGCGAATCGGGAGAAGAGCAAACGATCTTACAACAAGTGAGTTTCTCGCCCCCCCCCTGTGGTGTTGGGTGCATTGGCTCACCGCTTGCCGCTGCAGTCACAGGGAAAAGATAAATGCCCGACGGAGGGCCCAATATTCCGAGCGAAAATTGCGGTGAGTTGATGGCTTTGCGTTGGCGAGGCTATAGCACTTACGAGCCCATCAGGGGGGGTGCACATCGTGAGCGTCAAGCGGGGAATGCGCTGAGTGGTCTTCCAGGGGATAACCACTGGTGGGTCAATCTCTCCTTCATGCGAGGGTCGCTTATGAACTTGGCTCCTAGGGATGAAATCGTGCAGATCAGCGTGGAATGTCTCGTCACTCTGGCGGAGAGGACCTACGTTCAATATGGGGAGATCATTGGCAACTCGCCATACATGTTCTTGAAATCAACGTGCGACCGCTTCGTCCAACGGCGCCATGCAGACTCCGGCGAGGCGAAGAGGAAAATCGACGCACAAATCACAGAGCTGGCAAAATTGGCGAGTCGCCTGCTCAGGGTCCATGTCGATCTGACGCGGTTGGAATACGACGTGGGGGACGCGTTGCGAAAGGTGGAGTCTCTCGCACAACCCGTGCGCCGTACTCTGGCAGACTTGGCAGACATATCTGAGGCTATTGAGGCCGATGAAGCGCAGTTCTGTCATGATTACATGCAAGGTCGACTGTATTACCAAAATCACTGATTGTCTACGTTACGTATATGTTGTATCAACGCGCGTGGTAATTGGAATGCAGTTCCCGGAGGGGGAGTTGATTGATGATCTGACGGTAGAGATATGCTCGAAGAAGCTGAAGATGCGGCTCTGATGCACCCGTAACGTGGAAGCCCCGTACATGCGCCACGATTTGCGCGAGGACCCACAGTCCACACGTCGTAGAGCTCGTCTGCAGTGTGGAGGTGTTGGCTGCGAAAGCTGTCCAGTCTTGATCCGTGATGAGGGGAAGTGGATGGCCATGGGTGTTGGCACCAAGAACCAAGGTGTTCGATGAGCTTCATGATAAGCTGGTATATACAGTGAGCCACCCCGCCACGTATTACAATATCGCACTCACCGGGAGTTCATCCGCCCACGGCTCTTTCTCACCAAAGCTGTCAAACAGAAGGAGTTGCCTGTGGTGAGGGTATATAGCGCAAAGGACCCAATGCTCGACCGGCGCCGGGCGATGCATGGGGAGCAACCACAGTTCCTTGCTCCAGTATTCGGTGGCCTTCTCCATATCCCATACCTTCATCATTCCTCGCTTATTCTTGACATAAACGAGAGAGAAGGTGGAGAGAATGGCGCACCGCTCCGCTGGGCTGAGGCCTGGGGTTGGGGAATTCAACGGGGTGAAGAGGTGCTGCAGAAGTGCTGCGCCACCGTTGATGCAGTCGTCGTCCAGTTGTCGGCCTTGTGAACTGAGAATGTCTATGGCCTGCGTGGGGAAGTCAACTACCCGGTGGGTCAGCCTAAATCTCCTGAGGCTGTGGTCGCGAGTCCCCGGTCCTGCGTCGATGGTGATGGCTCGGGCTACTTCCGTATCCCGTGCGATCGAGGTCTACGCGGCGTGTTAGCTGGAAATGGAAGTCCAATAGCCTATTCACTGACGGGAACTTCCCAGACGACTGCTGGGATGTACTGCGGAGGTTCTTGCGTGGAACTGTCCTCGCATACTTCATCTAGCAGACGACATCCTTCTTCTGTCAATTCCACAGTGTCCGCATCTTCCGACGGTTGAATGTCGGGATCGCCCAGCTCGAGTACTACAGGGTCCACCCACCGCAAGGCGGCTTGGCCTGGGCTCATCCCCATCTCGGCAAGGAGCTCTTGTGCGCGGTTGTAATGGGTTTCGTAGTGATGGATCGGAACTTGTTTACTCGCCCAACGACCGGGTAGGGTGAGGATTTGGCGCCGGTGTTCTTCAAGAAGAAAAACGATATGTCTATCTGGAGTTGGACGAGAGCGGTGCATGAGTAACTCAGTAACGTTATCCAGCCGTGTACGCACTGGGTGTCTCCCTGATTGCAACTTCGACGCTCGCAATCTCTCGCCCGTACCAGCGACACATGTTGTCAGCCTCTAGGTTGAGGCGCACGATTTCCTCTTGGCACCTCTCAAGTGTGAGCATCGCCCGAATGCCTCGGCGAACATCAACACTCTCTAACCACCTGGGAGGAGGGGCTCCCCCCGTAGCGGGCGTGAGCCATACGTCCTCCATGAGATCGGAGTGGTCCCGTAGTTCTGTGAGGTTTACCGGGAGTTCACGGGGGAGGACAATGCCCCATTCGGGTTTGATAAATTTGACAAGTTGCGCTCGGTGAGTGTTGAATCTCTCAATCGCAGCCATGAGGGCGGGCTGCCGGTTCTCTATGGCCTTGCGCGTGAGCTGGTGGAGATTGGTGCCTGGTGTGATCATGTCAGCGAACGTTTGGGTACTCCGAGGGGTTTCAACTCGTTTGTCTCACCAAGGGGTTGTTCCTTCCCGCCGTAGGCTTGATTGAGTCGATCGAACTCGAGAAATTGGGCGATGGCCCGCTTCCGAATATTGATTTTGAGGTCACGCATCAAAAGTAGAGTCTTGACAAACTTGTAGTCCATCCCGCGCAACTCGGGGTAGGCGCGTCCCCCACGTTCAATGATTCATAGTGTTGCTCCCATCTTCTGGAGGGTGTTCTGCCTTGTAACCTTTCATGTTATGTAATATGCTGCGGTATGGGTCGTCGTCATCGTCGGCTTTCTGGACAGTTGCGGCCATCGCCTCGATCCGCGCATCGATACGGTCAATGTCGGCCTGGATGCGAAGGACTTCATCTAGTTGCTGCTTCAGCCGTGTGGGTTGGTCTGAGATTTGTTAGCGTGAGCACACGACGGAGCGGAAGGCAGAGACGTACGCCCTCTAATGGAGAGTTGCTTCTCTCGCTGGTCCTCCCACTCCGACCGAAGCTCCGTAATTGGGATGCCGACTTTTTGAAGGATGGATTGCTGCTCGGGGATCTGCTTTGCGATAGCCGTGCGCTGAGTCTTGACCCACTTCCCCAGATTCTGTCGGGTGCCCTTTCGATGAGATTTCATCAGCTGATTTATCAACCAGAGACGTCGCGAGCGCTGGCGGATGTAGAGGATGAGTCACCGGGTCTCCAGGAAGATACTTGAAGCCGAGGGACTTACAGAAGACATTCTCGCGATCGCGATGAGCTTTCGCATAATTGCCCATAGCCTCTCTGTGCCCTCCCCGTTGGTGTTTCCTGTACCGTCCTGGAACCGCGGATTGTAGTAGAGTTGACACGCCCACTGGTGGGCATACGCATGCATCGCGCTTGTGCAGAATTCCAATCTTGAGGTGATCGACTCGGGTAGAATTTCATACTAGCGAACAGGGGTGGATAAGCCCGGCTGCACTGGTTACAGCGTACCTGACGCCAGATACCGTACGCAAGACTCACCAATTGTAGGGAACGGTCAAGGACACACCCAACGTCGTAAAATGCCACCACGGTTGCGTTGGGGGGGATCATGGTGAACAGCTTTTTGATGAGAGCGACAGCATACTTTTGCTGCTCGCCAGGAGTGTCGATGTTGGCGAGGAAGAGCGGATAGTCGTGTCTGCAGACCATGGCCATCGTACCCGTATCATCGTACACTTGCGTGTTGGTTTTCACTTTGGTCCCTTGTCCTGCGATGTGTCCGTCTTCACATTCGTCCACCGCCTCGTCGGGTACCCTGGCGATTCGGGGTCGAGGGTGTCCTTCGCGTACTTTCTTCATATGCTCGCCGACTTCGTTCACATACTCCGCTGTCAGGTACAAATCGGGGTGTCGGTACAATTTTTCGTTGCTTTGCCCTTCACGACGGATGTGACGATGGTTGAAATTACCATCGAGGGCGACGTGGAAGTCTCCCCTTCTGTGCTCCGTCTCATCAATCCAACAGCATGACCCGAATATGACGGGGTAGGCGCACCTTTTGCTCGATCTCATCCCAAATGAACCCGGCTTTCCCCCGAAACACGCAGGGCATACTTGCTGCAATACTCTATCGCACTCCTGTCGTTCCTGCGTTCCTTCGTGCTCTTCGTAAAGTCGAGGCTGATGGATTGCCTGCAAGTTTTGGGAGGTCTGCTGCTGTTTCTCCCACCTATGGGCCTGGATCTTCTCGTCCGCCTCTCTCAGGGCGTCGTCTACGGCTTGTTGTATCTCATCTTGAATATTCTCGTACCATTTCATGGCAGATGCGATGGATCGCCTCCAGGCGTCTTCAACCACCTCTCCCCTGGAGTGATGTAAATCACACGTCTAAACGCTGACCGGTGGCGGACTCACTTGGTCGCTCAAATGGAGGAAGCCCCGTCGTTGGTAGTAGGTCTTACACGCCGCCGTGAAAGCGTACACGGCATCGCAGGATCTCTCGAAAAGTGCACGGTAGAAGTCCAGGAGAGATATTGACACAGCGAGACGCGGGGCCGTAGGTGATGATGGGAAAAAGCCATTAAGAACTAGTACTGAACATATGTCGCTGCACTCGCAGCTATGAACTACAGTCTTCTCGAAACCTGAGGGGTTGAGCTTGAGCATACGAACACTGGGAGTCCTTTAAGAGAAGATACGTACAGTCATGCATGAGAAGAACTACCGTATGCTCTTTCCGTACGCAATTTCCAGCCGGCACTCGGCAGTTCGACTCCAGCTTTGAGGGGTGAACTAATCTTTTCCCCATGGTTCGCGAAAGATATTGAAGTAGAGGCTCCTTCAGGTTCTTCATTTGGGTTTCCCATCTGATTCCAAGCGGTTGAGTCCTGCGCCCAGCGGGCACAGCAATGGGGCGCTCGTATGGTCGGTACTCCGCGTCGACATGTTGCCCTGTCTTCTGGTCGTCTTCGTCCACCCAGTCGTCGCTGTGGCCGTCGATGGGCACTTCCTCGTCGCCCTCCAGGACAGTGACATTGGTGTCATGTCGTTGACTGGAACTCCCAGGGGAAGAAGGCGCTGCCGAGTTGGCATCCAGATTCTCGAGTTGTGCAAGGAAAGCCCGCACGAGCGTGTTGTGGCCAAGGTTCTTGACTTTTATGCGCGACTTCCGATCATCTCTCGCTTTAATCGGGCTGGTGTACCCAATTCCAAAGCCGCTGTTTCGTGACGCTCGAGCGAAGGTCGGGACTTTGTGTGTTTTTGGCATGACATATGGTGGTCGGGTAGCGGCGAAAGGCGTACTTGGGATTTCGTTGTCGTTGCCGTGCTCGCCGAACAGTTCAGATCAGTTGTCGGCATCGTCCGCCTTGTGACTTTAGGGCTGGCCTATCGACACTTACACGAATTGGAGGCTAAGGGGAAACTCCTGGAGGTTTCAATTTCGTTTGGGGAAATAACCGGCGCAAGGCCACCGGCGCGTATGGGATGGCCGGATCCGCGGGGAGGTCTGGTATCTGATTGTTTTGGGAAATTACCGACCGACCGGGCCCTGGTGGCTGAATGTTTTGGTAAAATACCGACCGACCTGCCCCAGTACGACCGGCCGACCAAAGCAAAACCAGTGCCGGTATGCCGGAAAGGTGGGTAGGTCGGCGGGATAAGGTTAATTAATGATGTAAATTAATCGACCTAACATAGTAAAAAAACCGTCATATTCCGGTACCTAAGGTGTCCCTCACTACGGCTTCCAAGCATCCCGTACGGCGTGGGCCGAACCCCTTCCCGACGAGTTCAACATTCGCCGGGCCATGCGCGCCGTGTTTACTCGCGAACAGGCGACCGCCTTAGGGCTTCAAGTTCCACAGGACCGTCCTCAGGTAAGTTACGCGTGCCCTGTCGTTGATGACGAGTTTCTCGCTAACCTTCCCTGTCTTTTATTCTTAGGATTTGCCCGGGCCTACGTTCGTACCCCGCCGTGTCCGCAACGGCACGAACTATAGCTGGAACCGCACCACTACTAACCCTATCGTCCTTCGTTACGATGAGTTACTGGCATCGCCCTTGTTCCAGGTGAGTGGATCGAGGTATCTACCTTATTTTTCGACTTCTCTAACCTTCTTTTCATTTTGTTTTTAGGAGTCTCGTTCTTGGTTGGGGCAGGGCCAGCTTTTCAATGCTTCCCACACCATCTACCAGTTGAATCTCGAACTTGGTAGACCTACCGAACGCCCCTATCTCCCTCTCGTCGTCGCCTCAGTTATTGACGTAGGCGATGGCGTCTCGGTCATCGACTATGCGACTAACGGCGCATTGTCTGAGACCCAGCCATTCCCCACCACCGTCTTCTCTCCTGCCCGCCCCGTCATTCGTTCTATCAGCGCCCATCGCCGTGACGCTTCCAAGGCATCCGAAAAGGCTGTCGAGCCTCTTTCTGGCACCCAGGTTACGCCTAGGACGGGTACTGCTCAGGCCGATACGGGTCCCAAACAGGGTAAGACTCGTTCTCTTCATCTTTTTCTTTCTGTTACTAACTCAATTCTATTTTCTGTCACTCAGGTGCGTCGTCTTCAGGCGCCCATTCTTCAGGTGCCTCGCCCAAGACTCCCAAGTCTATGATTACGAAATCGACGAAGGCGCCTATCCTACAACAGCCTTCCGAGTCCGTTGGGATCCTGGAGGACCAGCAAGGGTCGCCTTCTGCCGGCGTACTGCCTTCAACTCCCCTTCTCGAGCGGCGACTCGACCCTCTCACCGCAGCGGCGGGCCTTCTCCACGCCAATCTTCCTCTAGAACCTGCCGAAGGTTCTGTCGTCCCTGCTCCCAACTTCGATCCCACCAAGGTCGCCGCCGAGTTTCCTCGCACCGCCGACCTCAAAACTCACGTTCCAGGCGTTCCCCGTGGTCTTCGTCAAGAAGATGGCGAGTACCGCCCTCCCCCTTCTTCGTCTTTCCAAGCTTTCCCCACGACTGAGGACTTCGCGCGTCAGACAGAGGAGATCGCTCGTGCGCGAGCTGAAACTCCTCTCGAAGACCGCATCGACCTTAAGTCTGGAGATACGCTCCACCACCTCTCAGCTGCTCAACGCCGGCGGGTTTACCCCGATCGCCGAGAGCCTCACCCTCGTCAGCGCCTTGAAAACGCCCGAACCACTCTCCTAGTCGCTATGGGTCTTTACCAGAAGGCATGCGACGCTGTCCGCGAGGCTAACCGACTCCACAGGAAGAAGCAACGAGAGACGGCTGCTCGAGCAGGTCGAAATCTTTCTTCCGACAAGAACAAGAGGAAGAAAGTGAACGAGAAGGCGCGCAAGGTGCAGTTGAAGGGCCAAAAGGAGGTGGAAAAGGCCTTGACGAGCGACGACGAGGTTTTCGACCCCGCCCCTTTTCCTCCCCCCAATATCCCTGAACTCGAAGGTCTCGAACGTGAGACTCTCCAAGAGCTCATTCGCCAACTTCCTGTTTCCGGTGACGTCTTCGGACCAGATCCTACGGGTTCTGGTTCCAGTTCTTCATCTTCGTCCGACTCTGACGCCTCCGCATCTCATCCTCCCGTTAAAGCCAAGAAAACCCGTTCCAAGCGTCGCAAGGCGCACCGTCGTCTTCTCCCCACTTCGATGCGCCCTGACTACGATCTTCACCCTGCGTTGGCTCGAAACATCACCGGTGTCATGGGCTCGCGCCGATTCTTGACAGACCACGTCTTGGTGAGTACTCGATTGCTGATGGAGGTCTTTTCTTCGCTTACTCGTTCTTATTCTTCTAGCAAATTGGTCCTTGTCTGCGTTGTGCCCTTACGTTCAATCCAAATTGCACGTATTTGGGTCCCAACCGCCGCTGTGGACCTTGTGGCAAGGGTGGCAAGCCGTGTTCGTTTGATATGCGTCCTCTTGAGTTAAGGGGACTTCGAAATCACGCCGCCGCCGTTGCAGAAGGTTCTTCTTTCTGTAAGTTCTTTCTTTTATCCTTTTGCGTAAGACGAGTACTGACTTAGGTTTCCTTTCAGACCTCGATACTCTGGTACGGGATATATTGCACCAGGCCAATGTCGTCCGCCTCGATCTCAATCAGTACTTCCTCGCCGTCTTACACCTCGCTGAGCTCCAGGCTCGACTCCTCTCTTCGATCCACCGCCTCTCGTTAACAGACGGCCCCCAGTACGTCGTCGATGAACACTTCGATGGAGACTTTGAAAAATATCTCCAATTCCGTGAAATGTTCATCTTCGACCACCAATTCGAGGGTATCGACGGCAACATCGTTACGCACGCCGAATTGGTTGCCCAGATGGATCAGATTTTTGTCCAAGCGGTCCAAGCCCGAGGCGGGGAAGCCCCCTCTATCCCTCTCGATTCTCCCCGGCCCATCACCACTCCTGGGGCCCCATTCGTCTTTGGTGCTTACTCCTTCAACGACCTCCCTTCGTACGACACCTCTCGCGGTCCGACGGCTGTACCAGCTTCTGACGCGCCTTCAGCGTCCCGTACTCGCAAACCTGGTAAATCGTCGACCAAATCTGATGGTAAAACGACGGGTTCTAGTAAGGACACGGCGTCGTTGAAGAAGAAAGGCAAGCAGAAGGCTTCCGCTCAGGAGACGGAACTCCAGGAGGCCCTGGGCGATGAGTATGACTCGTTGGATCGCGAAAAACAAGCCGTCGCCTTCCAGTTCTTCGCGGCTAACCCTGTACTTCCCGAGGCACCTAGTTCGACTATTCCTGCACCTGGTAAGTCTTTCCTTCTAACTTATCGTCTCCGCTGTTAACTCCCTTGTTCCTTTTCTTCTAGATATCGATGATGACAGTGCCGACATGTACGTCGACGATATCGAAATGGTGGTAGGACAGGAGAGTCGAATCCCGTCGGAGGAAGTCCCCCTCCCGCCTGCGGTAGTCCCAACGGCGGTAAGTCGTCGGTTTTACCTTTTCGTCATATCTCTCTAACGTGTTTAACTGTTTGCTTCTTAGGACACTCCGTTCCTTGGGGTAGCTATTCCTCCCCCTTCGTCACTGGCGGGTCCTTCCTCTTTCGTGCCGACTGAGGTCGCTATCCGTGGTAGGACCCTCAAACGCCGGGCGCCCAGCGACTCCAAGGCCAGTAAGTCGAAGCGTGGCCGTAAGTAGACGCCTCCTTTCTTCTCTCGGTATGTCTTCCCATCTCGTCTTGTCGTCTACCGTACTGTCGACCATGGGAGGGACGGATTACAGTCGGACTTGCACATACTCACGGGGCTTTGCCCCATCTTCGTATATTTTGTATCACCAACAACTGTATCACGCCGTATTGTACATTCTGGGGTCTCTGCAGCATCTATAAGCTGTAGGGATCAACCTATACTGCTTTCCTGTGTCAATTGTTGGTTTGATATCCCACTAAGTCATACTTGAGCTCTCTTTCTGGTAAAATGGTCTCAAAATTGCGAATATTTATCCGGCGTAAGTGATTTCTTGCTTAAGACATCACATCATACGGATGTTTTAAGTTTGAGTCCATTTGTGGGCGGCCGAACATCAGACCTTTGTTTCCGGTGGAACTATAACCAATTATGGTAGTCCGAGTTCTGACAGAACGAAAGGAAGGTATTTCGCGATTTCTTCTGAGGGCCTGACCGTACGGCGGCTTGTAGCTCACCATATGTGTCCGATCCTACTAAGTATAAAGTACGATCCAACGGTCACCTGTCCTCTAAGTCTCAGCGCCTTTTGCCAAACAATTCCCCCCCCCAAGAAAATCCTTTTCCCCGGGGAAAAACCCCCGGGGAATGGGGGGAAAGGGCAACCTTTTTTCAAAAAAGGGGTTTTTTTGGCCCCCCCCCCCCCCCCCCCCCCCTGTGGTGTTGGGTGCATTGGCTCACCGCTTGCCGCTGCAGTCACAGGGAAAAGATAAATGCCCGACGGAGGGCCCAATATTCCGAGCGAAAATTGCGGTGAGTTGATGGCTTTGCGTTGGCGAGGCTATAGCACTTACGAGCCCATCAGGGGGGGTGCACATCGTGAGCGTCAAGCGGGGAATGCGCTGAGTGGTCTTCCAGGGGATAACCACTGGTGGGTCAATCTCTCCTTCATGCGAGGGTCGCTTATGAACTTGGCTCCTAGGGATGAAATCGTGCAGATCAGCGTGGAATGTCTCGTCACTCTGGCGGAGAGGACCTACGTTCAATATGGGGAGATCATTGGCAACTCGCCATACATGTTCTTGAAATCAACGTGCGACCGCTTCGTCCAACGGCGCCATGCAGACTCCGGCGAGGCGAAGAGGAAAATCGACGCACAAATCACAGAGCTGGCAAAATTGGCGAGTCGCCTGCTCAGGGTCCATGTCGATCTGACGCGGTTGGAATACGACGTGGGGGACGCGTTGCGAAAGGTGGAGTCTCTCGCACAACCCGTGCGCCGTACTCTGGCAGACTTGGCAGACATATCTGAGGCTATTGAGGCCGATGAAGCGCAGTTCTGTCATGATTACATGCAAGGTCGACTGTATTACCAAAATCACTGATTGTCTACGTTACGTATATGTTGTATCAACGCGCGTGGTAATTGGAATGCAGTTCCCGGAGGGGGAGTTGATTGATGATCTGACGGTAGAGATATGCTCGAAGAAGCTGAAGATGCGGCTCTGATGCACCCGTAACGTGGAAGCCCCGTACATGCGCCACGATTTGCGCGAGGACCCACAGTCCACACGTCGTAGAGCTCGTCTGCAGTGTGGAGGTGTTGGCTGCGAAAGCTGTCCAGTCTTGATCCGTGATGAGGGGAAGTGGATGGCCATGGGTGTTGGCACCAAGAACAAGGTGTTCGATGAGCTTCATGATAAGCTGGTATATACAGTGAGCCACCCCGCCACGTATTACAATATCGCACTCACCGGGAGTTCATCCGCCCACGGCTCTTTCTCACCAAAGCTGTCAAACAGAAGGAGTTGCCTGTGGTGAGGGTATATAGCGCAAAGGACCCAATGCTCGACCGGCGCCGGGCGATGCATGGGGAGCAACCACAGTTCCTTGCTCCAGTATTCGGTGGCCTTCTCCATATCCCATACCTTCATCATTCCTCGCTTATTCTTGACATAAACGAGAGAGAAGGTGGAGAGAATGGCGCACCGCTCCGCTGGGCTGAGGCCTGGGGTTGGGGAATTCAACGGGGTGAAGAGGTGCTGCAGAAGTGCTGCGCCACCGTTGATGTAGTCGTCGTCTAGTTGTCGGCCTTGTGAACTGAGAATGTCTATGGCCTGCGTGGGGAAGTCAACTACCCGGTGGGTCAGCCTAAATCTCCTGAGGCTGTGGTCGCGAGTCCCCGGTCCTGCGTCGATGGTGATGGCTCGGGCTACTTCCGTATCCCGTGCGATCGAGGTCTACGCGGCGTGTTAGCTGGAAATGGAAGTCCAATAGCCTATTCACTGACGGGAACTTCCCAGACGACTGCTGGGATGTACTGCGGAGGTTCTTGCGTGGAACTGTCCTCGCATACTTCATCTAGCAGACGACATCCTTCTTCTGTCAATTCCACAGTGTCCGCATCTTCCGACGGTTGAATGTCGGGATCGCCCAGCTCGAGTACTACAGGGTCCACCCACCGCAAGGCGGCTTGGCCTGGGCTCATCCCCATCTCGGCAAGGAGCTCTTGTGCGCGGTTGTAATGGGTTTCGTAGTGATGGATCGGAACTTGTTTACTCGCCCAACGACCGGGTAGGGTGAGGATTTGGCGCCGGTGTTCTTCAAGAAGAAAAACGATATGTCTATCTGGAGTTGGACGAGAGCGGTGCATGAGTAACTCAGTAACGTTATCCAGCCGTGTACGCACTGGGTGTCTCCCTGATTGCAAACTTCGACGCTCGCAATCTCTCGCCCGTACCAGCGACACATGTTGTCAGCCTCTAGGTTGAGGCGCACGATTTCCTCTTGGCACCTCTCAAGTGTGAGCATCGCCCGAATGCCTCGGTGAACATCAACACTCTCTAACCACCTGGGAGGAGGGGCTCCCCCCGTAGCGGGCGTGAGCCATACATCCTCCATGAGATCGGAGTGGTCCCGTAGTTCTGTGAGGTTTACCGGGAGTTCACGGGGGAGGACAATGCCCCATTCGGGTTTGATAAATTTGACAAGTTGCGCTCGGTGAGTGTTGAATCTCTCAATCGCAGCCATGAGGGCGGGCTGCCGGTTCTCTATGGCCTTGCGCGTGAGCTGGTGGAGATTGGTGCCTGGTGTGATCATGTCAGCGAACGTTGTGGGTACTCCGAGGGGTTTCAACTCGTTTGTCTCACCAAGGGGTTGTTCCTTCCCGCCGTAGGCTTGATTGAGTCGATCGAACTCGAGAAATTGGGCGATGGCCCGCTTTCCGAATATTGATTTTTGAGGTCACGCATCAAAAGTAGAGTCTTGACAAACTTGTAGTCCATCCCGCGCAACTCGGGGTAGGCGTCCCCCACGTTCAATGATTCATAGTGTTGCTCCATCTTCTGGAGGGTGTTCTGCCTTGTAACCTTCATGTTATGTAATATGCTGCGGTATGGGTCGTCGTCATCGTCGGCTTTCTGGACAGTTGCGGCCATCGCCTCGATCCGCGCATCGATACGGTCAATGTCGGCCTGGATGCGAAGGACTTCATCTAGTTGCTGCTTCAGCCGTGTGGGTTGGTCTGAGATTTGTTAGCGTGAGCACACGACGGAGCGGAAGGCAGAGACGTACGCCCTCTAATGGAGAGTTGCTTCTCTCGCTGGTCCTCCCACTCCGACCGAAGCTCCGTAATTGGGATGCCGACTTTTTGAAGGATGGATTGCTGCTCGGGGATCTGCTTTGCGATAGCCGTGCGCTGAGTCTTGACCCACTTCCCCAGATTCTGTCGGGTGCCCTTTCGATGAGATTTCATCAGCTGATTTATCAACCAGAGACGTCGCGAGCGCTGGCGGATGTAGAGGATGAGTCACCGGGTCTCCAGGAAGATACTTGAAGCCGAGGGACTTACAGAAGACATTCTCGCGATCGCGATGAGCTTTCGCATAATTGCCCATAGCCTCTCTGTGCCCTCCCCGTTGGTGTTTCCTGTACCGTCCTGGAACCGCGGATTGTAGTAGAGTTGACACGCCCACTGGTGGGCATACGCATGCATCGCGCTTGTGCAGAATTCCAATCTTGAGGTGATCGACTCGGGTAGAATTTCATACTAGCGAACAGGGGTGGATAAGCCCGGCTGCACTGGTTACAGCGTACCTGACGCCAGATACCGTACGCAAGACTCACCAATTGTAGGGAACGGTCAAGGACACACCCAACGTCGTAAAATGCCACCACGGTTGCGTTGGGGGGGATCATGGTGAACAGCTTTTTGATGAGAGCGACAGCATACTTTTGCTGCTCGCCAGGAGTGTCGATGTTGGCGAGGAAGAGCGGATAGTCGTGTCTGCAGACCATGGCCATCGTACCCGTATCATCGTACACTTGCGTGTTGGTTTTCACTTTGGTCCCTTGTCCTGCGATGTGTCCGTCTTCACATTCGTCCACCGCCTCGTCGGGTACCCTGGCGATTCGGGGTCGAGGGTGTCCTTCGCGTACTTTCTTCATATGCTCGCCGACTTCGTTCACATACTCCGCTGTCAGGTACAAATCGGGGTGTCGGTACAATTTTTCGTTGCTTTGCCCTTCACGACGGATGTGACGATGGTTGAAATTACCATCGAGGGCGACGTGGAAGTCTCCCCTTCTGTGCTCCGTCTCATCAATCCAACAGCATGACCCGAATATGACGGGGTAGGCGCACCTTTTGCTCGATCTCATCCCAAATGAACCCGGCTTTCCCCCGAAACACGCAGGGCATACTTGCTGCAATACTCTATCGCACTCCTGTCGTTCCTGCGTTCCTTCGTGCTCTTCGTAAAGTCGAGGCTGATGGATTGCCTGCAAGTTTTGGGAGGTCTGCTGCTGTTTCTCCCACCTATGGGCCTGGATCTTCTCGTCCGCCTCTCTCAGGGCGTCGTCTACGGCTTGTTGTATCTCATCTTGAATATTCTCGTACCATTTCATGGCAGATGCGATGGATCGCCTCCAGGCGTCTTCAACCACCTCCCCCTGGAGTGATGTAAATCACACGTCTAAACGCTGACCGGTGGCGGACTCACTTGGTCGCTCAAATGGAGGAAGCCCCGTCGTTGGTAGTAGGTCTTACACGCCGCCGTGAAAGCGTACACGGCATCGCAGGATCTCTCGAAAAGTGCACGGTAGAAGTCCAGGAGAGATATTGACACAGCGAGACGCGGGGCCGTAGGTGATGATGGGAAAAAGCCATTAAGAACTAGTACTGAACATATGTCGCTGCACTCGCAGCTATGAACTACAGTCTTCTCGAAACCTGAGGGGTTGAGCTTGAGCATACGAACACTGGGAGTCCTTTAAGAGAAGATACGTACAGTCATGCATGAGAAGAACTACCGTATGCTCTTTCCGTACGCAATTTCCAGCCGGCACTCGGCAGTTCGACTCCAGCTTTGAGGGGTGAACTAATCTTTTCCCCATGGTTCGCGAAAGATATTGAAGTAGAGGCTCCTTCAGGTTCTTCATTTGGGTTTCCCATCTGATTCCAAGCGGTTGAGTCCTGCGCCCAGCGGGCACAGCAATGGGGCGCTCGTATGGTCGGTACTCCGCGTCGACATGTTGCCCTGTCTTCTGGTCGTCTTCGTCCACCCAGTCGTCGCTGTGGCCGTCGATGGGCACTTCCTCGTCGCCCTCCAGGACAGTGACATTGGTGTCATGTCGTTGACTGGAACTCCCAGGGGAAGAAGGCGCTGCCGAGTTGGCATCCAGATTCTCGAGTTGTGCAAGGAAAGCCCGCACGAGCGTGTTGTGGCCAAGGTTCTTGACTTTTATGCGCGACTTCCGATCATCTCTCGCTTTAATCGGGCTGGTGTACCCAATTCCAAAGCCGCTGTTTCGTGACGCTCGAGCGAAGGTCGGGACTTTGTGTGTTTTTGGCATGACATATGGTGGTCGGGTAGCGGCGAAAGGCGTACTTGGGATTTCGTTGTCGTTGCCGTGCTCGCCGAACAGTTCAGATCAGTTGTCGGCATCGTCCGCCTTGTGACTTTAGGGCTGGCCTATCGACACTTACACGAATTGGAGGCTAAGGGGAAACCCCTGGAGGTTTCAATTTCGTTTGGGGAAATAACCGGCGCAAGGCCACCGGCGCGTATGGGATGGCCGGATCCGCGGGGAGGTCTGGTATCTGATTGTTTTGGGAAATTACCGACCGACCGGGCCCTGGTGGCTGAATGTTTTGGTAAAATACCGACCGACCTGCCCCAGTACGACCGGCCGACCAAAGCAAAACCAGTGCCGGTATGCCGGAAAGGTGGGTAGGTCGGCGGGGTAAGGTTAATTAATGATGTAAATTAATCGACCTAACATAGTAAAAAAACCGTCATATTCCGGTACCTAAGGTGCCAAGGTCCTCAGAATCAAACTGCCCAAGGTTTGTATTGCAAACGGTCACCGGTCAGGTCTAGGGACGAACAGTCGACGATCCGGTATGATACTATAAGTAGTAGTGCATAGGTATAAGTACAGCTGGGGAATACAGGATCAAAATTCAGGGCGGCGCATAAGTTTAACGATTGGGAAGGCACACGAGGCTCGAGGCTCGGACTCGAGTCCGGACAGCGCGCAAAGCGAACCTCACCGGTTGGACGTACATACATACTTATGTAGGTCTCGAACCCTCGCGTCCTCCAGGGCCACAGCGCTCGCTTATCGTATGAACATATGTAAATGGTGTTCCCCACAACCGGTTTCACTCGGCGCTACATAGCGTGTGTAATTCATTGTTCAAACTGCCATGGATAGGAACATGCAGGAACGTCGCGTTCCCTCGTGCCTGAAGTCTAGATCGTAATCTGATATGATGGGCCCCTCGCTTGCTGCTTATCTGATAAAGAATGCACACTCACGGGCATCAGCTAAAATAAATCATCATCTCGGCTCAGGTGTCTTTATCAGATAAAATTTTCACAATGAATCGCATCATCATCTCGGTTCTCGGTTCATTTCTCACCGTCTCGGGTTCTCGGGCCATTTGGTTCTTCAAGCTTCAGATTCTGGGGTGTGTTTTATCAGATAAAACTTTTCTCCTTCATCTCAGGATGGTCAGATCTCGGGTTGGTTTACTTATCAGATAAAGAAAAAAGCAAAAAAAAGGCCCAATGGCAAAAGCACCCAGGCGCCACAGCTCTTGGCAACCCAAAGATCTCCCGCTGTGTTGGTTATCAGATATCAGATGATTCTTTTTCACTTAGCGCCGGCCGTCAAAAAGTCAGAAGCTGTCGGACTAGTGGTATGTTAAGCCAAACCCATGTGTATTGGGGGCATGGGGCCAGGGGCCAGGGCGTGTTATAAAAGGGCCATAGGGATCCCATGGGATATTCCCGGGATTCTTCGTCGCCGTCAAGTTCGTGTCTCTGTCCCTGTCAGACCTCTTCACCTCTTCTCCCTCTTCACCCCTTCACGTTCCCCCCACGTCCGTCCTTCCCCTCTCTCCCCGCCCACCCCTTCGCCCTTCTTCCCTTCTTCCTCGGTTCGTCCAGGCCATCGCGTTCCACCGCGTGTCACGTTCCACCGACGTAACGCCGACGAAGCTTCCAACGACACCGACAACGACCACGACGACAGCGACGACGAATACGAATACGAATACGAAGCTTGACTAGGATGTCCTACGGAGACGAGAAGGCACCCGTGCGGGACGTAGAGGCCGGCTCTGCGCCCTCGATCACCTCCACCGAGATCGCGGCACATGTGGGTGTGCGCAACATCGAGGCTACGCATAAAGTCTTTGGGAAGTATTCGAAGTGGTGTTTGTTTATTAGGTACGTAAATGATGAGGGTTCTTCGGGTGAGACGCATTGCTAACCGTCGTCTTCTTCCTTCTTCCTTCGTCGTTGTCGTTGTCGTTGTCGTCGGCGGCGCGTTCGTTGTGGCTGTTGTGGTTGTGGTTGTTGTGGTCGAATAGTTTGGGTCTTGCGGCGTACATCTACTCTCTCGATGGCACGACGACGTACAACTACCTCGCGTTCGCTGCTTCGTACCTTGGTGGACATAGTTTGATCAGTACCATCCAAGTCGCGCAAGCTATCATCGGTAAGTACCGTTTCTTCCATCCTCGTGTTATAGGGACGTCGCACTCACCCCGATACTTTCTAGTTGCTGTTGGTAAACCGGTTATTGCGAAGATTGCGGACGTCAAGTCCCGACCTATCGCGTATGTTCTCGTCTGTGAGTACCGAGTGCCTTATGTTCTCCTCGTAGAACGTCGACTGAGTTGGCACTAGTGATCTTCTACATCGTCGGCTACATCGTCATCGCATCCGCCAAGAATGTTGGAACTATCGCAGGTGGAATCGTCATCTACGCCATGTACGTCCCCTCTTCTCTCCTCTTTCCCTTCAACATCTAACCCCTCCTCGACTAGCGGCTACACCGGCCTCCAACTCCTCACGCAAATCATCATCGCGGATATCACAGTCCTCAAATGGCGTGGGCTCGTCTCCTCACTCATGTCCCTCCCTTTCATCATCAACGCCTTTGTCGGCTCCAACATCTCCACCGCCGTCCTCGAGGGCAGCGCCGGCTGGCGCTGGGGCTACGGCATGTTCGCCATCCTCGTCCCCGCGACCCTCTCCCCGCTCATCGTCACCCTCATCTGGGCTGAACGCAAGGCTAAGAAGCAGGGCTTGATCAAGGACGATGGGGAGAAGAAGCCGGTGTTGCAGAGTATGCTTGATACGGCGAATAAGCTCGATGTTGTGGGCTTGTTCTTGCTTGGTGCTTGTGTTGCGCTTATTTTGTTGCCGATGACGCTTTCGAGGGTGTTGGGTAAGGGGTGGCAGTCCCGTACGTCGTCGTTTTTTTTTCGTCTGAGGCCATAGTTCGTTGTTGTGCTGATGGGTTGAGGATAGCTTCGATGATTGCGACCATCTGCGTTGGTGGTGCTCTTATCCCCGTCTACCTGATCTGGGAGGCCAAGTTCACCAAGTACCCCGTCATCCCCCGTCGGTTCCTGCTCAACAAGACGGTTGTGATCGCCTGCCTCATCGGTGCTCTCGACTTTGTGCGTCCCCTCTCCCCCCTCCTCCTTCCATCGCATTCACTAACCCCCATGACTACAGGTCAGCTTCTACATCTCCTACGCCTACCTCTACTCCTTCGTCATCGTCGTCAAACCCTGGTCCCTAAAAAACGCGACCTACTTCATCCAATGCCAAACTGTCACACTCACCGTCTTCGGTATCGTCGGTGGTGCCCTCATGCGCTACCTCCGTCGGTACAAGCCGATCCTCATCGGCGGTCTCGCCATTCGCCTACTTGGAACGGGTCTGATGATCCATTCGCGAGGTGCGAATGCGAGCGATGCGGAGATTGTGTGGTCCCAGATTTTGCAGGGGATGGGTGGGGGGATGGCGGCTGTGTCGTCGCAGGTTGCGGCGCAGGCTTCGGTGCCCCATATTGATACTGCGAGTGTTACTGCGATTGTGCTTTTGATTACGGAGATTGGTGGGGCTGTTGGGAATGCTATTGGTGCGTCGTCTCTCGATGTTTTGTTCGTCGCTCTGTGTTCTTTCTCTCTAACTAACTGCCGTCTTTTGGTCTTTGTATTTGTAGCTGGTGCGGTGTGGACTTCGCTCATGCCCGACCAACTCGCGAAGCACCTGCCCATGCTCGACCAAGCGACGCGCGACCAATTGTTCGGTTCTATCGTCGCCGTCTCTGCTGAGCCGAGAGGCCACCCTATCCGTGAAGCCGTTATCCTCGGTGCGTACCTCTTCTCCCTCCCTCCCGTCTACCGTCTCCCTTTCCCTTTCCCTCTCATCCCCCTCCCCCCTCGATCCTTTTTTTTCCTTTTCGTCCTCCCTCCCTTCCTCCCCGTACTCTATCCGCTAACCCTACGTACTCCATCCGCTAACCCTACGTACTCCATCCGCTAACCCTACGTACTCCATCCGCTAACCCCACGTACTTACTACTACCTTACAGCCTACGACAACGTGATGCTCAAACTCTGCATCGCGGCGTGCGTCTTCGCGGTCCCGCCCCTCCTCCTCTCGCTTTTGATGCCGAATTGGTACCTTGGAGACTTCCAGAATGCGGTTGAGCAGACTGATTTGGCTGGGAGTGTTGTTGGTGGTGATGAGTCTAGTGAGAGAGGTGTTGGTGAGAAGGGTGATGGGTCTAGTGAGAAGGGTGGGGTTGGTGAGAAGGGTGATGGGTCTAGTGAGAGGGGTGTTGTTGCGCAGCAGGTAGGTCAGGGCCAGACACAGCCTGGCTCGAATGCTGTGGCTGCACAGTAGTAGTTACGTTTTTCAAAAAAGCTATCATCCTCATCGATATTTTTCTCTCTCTCTATCGTCTAGTATTACTTAGTCATGCATGCTACTCATCTACGTAGTTTGAATCACGCTGTTTTCTTTTCTTTGTGTATTGTTGTTGTTAATTTTTTTTTTGTTATTGTTAATGAATTAGATTACGATTTTTTTTTTTTTTTTTTTCTTAGGTCCGCTATTATTGTCATGTCTGGTTCTTTCGAGCGGTGCGGTGTTGTAGTTCGCCTTTCGAGCCGTGTTGTAGTAGTTACGACTCGGACTGCTGCTGATTACACTTGACGTATTCACTCGATTTTCGTTTTGCTCGAGGTATTATTGGCTGTCGACTCGGACGTGTTCGTCTGAATCATGGCTTTTTGTTTGAAGATTCACGTAAATTCAAGAGTCGTCACCTTGTTCTAACTTGTGAAGTTTTGAAGCTTTGAAACTTTTGAAGCTTTGAAGCTTTGAAACTTGCAGCTTTGAAGGCGTGAACGGTGAACTCATCAACCAGTTAGTTCCAGTTAGTTGAGCCTAAGGCTTTGACGCGGAAGACGTGAACCCCGGAGCGTGTACCACCCCCCCAGGTTACATGCCCCCTGTGAATGTTTTCTTGCAAGTTGCATTTTTGCTGATAGTGATGCACGAGGGGTCGGCGCGGATGACGAGGTCGGAGGAGGTGTGACGTGGGAGATTGTCGAAGCGCTGTGGATGTTGAGGCAGTGCGAGGTCGCGGGCGCTTATTTGGACATCCGACAAAGTCGTCGTCGCTGTCGAGCGACTCGAGCCCGTCGAAGCAGCTTGTGGTAGTTCGTCGTAGAAATCGAGAGAGTGGGAGTTGAGGGATTCGTGATAGGCATCCCAGGCGTGATAGGGATCTCGTGAATCGTGATAGGGGTCCCAGGCGACTACGGCCGAAGCCATGCTGAGAGTACACGCGATGAGACAAAGGCTGGGCTTTAACGCGACCATTTTTAATTCGAGCATTCTGTGAAATGCAACGAGTTAGGGGTCAAACTCTATACCGGTTGGAGAACAGGCGTGGGGTGAACTGCAGCTGACAGATGGATGGGGTGTGCGTGTGTCTGTTGTGCTTTATGAAAATGTTTGCATTAGAGATAAGTAGGGCGTGCGTGTGTTATCGAGTGCTGGTTGGGTTCAAAAGAAGGAAGGCTGAAAGGCGGGAGATTGGGTGGGATTTCTGAGGAACGATCGCCAGGCCGTCCCAACTCCGAGAGAAACACGGTGACCCGTCGACACGCACACCGAACCTTCTTCACGACTCTGGTGAACTGGCTACAATGAGTATCGAAGCATCCGTACGACACTTGTCCATTGTTACAAAGCACCTCTAGAGGACTTTTTTCGATTCATTGTAAATTGTTAGGCATCTGTGAAGGTTTTCTTGAATTTTGCTGATAGTGATACGTTGGGGTCGGCGCGCCGTTCGGATGGCGAGGTCGGAGCCTGAGGACGTGGATGTGGGAGATGTCGAGGCGCTGTGGATGTTGAGGCATGCGATGTCACGGGCGCTTATTTGGACATCCGACAAAGTCGTCGTCGCTGTCGAGCGACTCGGGCCCGTCGAAGCAGCTTGTGGTAGTCGTCGTAAAAGAGAGAGAGCGGGAGTTGAGGGAAGCAAAAGCCCCAGCAAGTACCAAACCTCAAAGGAGAAGCAGATCGCGAATTAGGGCTCTCGGGAGTCCGGATGAAGTGACCTTTTTCATAAACGACGGAAGGGTGCTCAGAGCATCGGACTATTGCTATGGAACATAGAGTAATCAGGATCAACGGTCGCCATGCCTTTAGATTCAAGCATCGTCGCCGATCGTCTTTATCTCGACGAGGGCCCCACTACTACAGACTCTGTATTAGGGCAAATGCTTTAGAAATTAGACGCCACAGAGAGCATCCCCTTTACTTATTAAATAAAATAATGAATGCCAATTGGTACTCGAAGCACTGCCTGTCTGTGACATACGCCTTAAATAAAACATGACATACTACGCCTTAATTAATACACCTACCATGGTCTAATTCCTCTCTACTATTCTGAAGCTCCGCCCTTGTTTCCGCTTTAGAGTCGACTACTAGAGGCGCTGTTGATAAGGTTACCAACTCCAACGGCCAGTGCGTGCAGGCCGTAAGCCGTTCAATCATCCATTCACAGTGGAGTGCGGTCGTGCTCCGTTCTGGTCCCAAGAGATGGGTGTATCATGATATGCTTTCTTTCCTGCTCGACATCCCGTTTCAACTCTGTAGCATCCAACTGACTAATTCCCTCAACCTAGGCTACTTGTGGCATTAATTTTTGAAAGTGAGCTTTTGAACTTGGACATTAACTCTAATCGTTCGTCATGGTCCCTACATCATTTGGGATAGAAACCACGATAGTTATCAAGGCAACGATGCCCGCAGAGGAACCAACGCCTCCTGCACTCAAGCCACCCGCCGCACCAACTGAAGTTCCTGAGCCCCCCGACCGTCACCCACCTCTGGAAGTAACGCCGCCCGACGACTCAGACGTGGTCACAAACGCCCTGGAGAACGGCCAAGTAGGTCCCACCGAGACGGAAGATAGCGGTGGGGGAGGGTCAACAGAGACAGAGGATAACCGTGACGGTGGTGGTGGGCCTACCGAGACAGAAGATAATGGCGGGGATGGACCTACCGAGACTGACGACAATGCAGGGGGAGGGGGCATTTCGAATTCATCGACCACTGGCATGCCACCCGGAAGCCCACCCAATGGAGCACCCCCAACCTCATTCACACCGTCACCGTCTCCCGCCGTCCTCACCTCTACACCGGTCGCTGTAGTTCTCAGTTTTCCGATGAATGGCACATCTACGGCCATGGTGGCACCGACTACATCGTCTGCAGGACTTTCGCCGATCGGTCAAACTCCGATTGGAACGTTTGGGTCTATTGATGTGTTCATCACTCCCACTGCTACGCACTCGAGGACTGGGGATATCGATGGAACGCCGAGCTTGACCCTCGCACCACCTGTGATTAGTACTTCGAGGAGGGAAACAACTGTCGGGGATTCGTCGCCCAGTGCTGGAACTACAGGTAATCATCATGATCATATCCTTATAAGTGTGAGGCCGTCGAAGCATGCTGATCTGTGTATTTCCAGTCAGAACAACACTCGTACGTCCATCGACGAGGGTATACAGCAGTGCATCAATGTGAGTCCAAGTTGTTTCATTTTCATCAACGACTATTTTCGTCTCTCTTAAAGTATTCTCGTCATCGCAGATATATCAACAATAACGGCCAGGAGGTCACCTCGTTCTTTGTCAAAACGACCGTTCTCCCCTCTGGTTACGTGGTGACAGCCGACTCAGGGGATGGTGCTTTGTCGATATCGCCAGCACGCCGGTCCAAGAAGATCGCCAGAATCGTTGGAAGTAGCGTGGGAGGTGCGTGTTCACTCCCGAAATCTAAGCGCCATTGACAAGTCCTTCAACCTCTTCACCAGGACTCGTATTTCTCTCCCTCGTAGGGATATTCCTGTTTTTCTTCTTCAGGCGGAAGAGGAGAAGAGGGGTGGTAGACGGGGCTGTAATGGACGATCCGGTCAACCCCATGGCACGGTATCGCGACTACGATGGCGAAGGTGGCTACGCTGCATACACTAACGACACAGCCCAACAGCCAGCCCTCAATCCGTACGCAGAATCGAGCATCAATCCGCAAACGAGGCTGTTATTGTCTTCGTCAGCAACAGAGCTAGTAGGAGTTTCGCATGTAACCATTGGCGCCAGAGCACCATCGAACGTGAACTGGGCATTTCCATCCGATGTCGGCGAACACAACCAGTCGTACGCTTCCTTCGGTACTACTACCCCTGTCGACGCGTCCAGGATGAGGTCCAGATCGACTTCAAATGTCTCTTCACATTCCCCTCAGCCATTCAAGCAGCATTACGTGCTTAGACGCCTGTCACGCACATCCCAGAGCGACTCTCGAGGAGTGTACTCTTCGCTCCCATTGCATTCCAAAGGAGATCCGAAGTACTCGACGATTCAGATACCACTCACGAGTACATCAACATTTCCCTCGAGTTCGATCATCGAGCGTCCTCAAATGGAGATCACGGTGTCGCCCAAATCCAAGTCAGCTATCGATCTATCTTCCTCTTCCACCATCGCGTCAACATACCCCGCCCATTGGGATCATACCGCGTCGTTCGCAAAGCCTGGGAGAAGGTCGCGCTTGCAGGAACTCTATCCCAGCAAGAACAAGGGAGGTTACCCAGCAGTGAACACCGCATCTGGCGCTGCTATTGGGACTGGATACGGGTCGCGTCCCCCAAGGTACCTCCGAACTAGAATCTCAGACGAGGGTGCCGCTGCGTGGAGGGAGGAGGTTCTTCGGGTTGCCAATGGCGAGCGTATTTAAATTTGAACTGACGGACCTTTCGACTTTTGCACATGTTTAGTATTTAATGGATGAGTATGACCTTTTTTCGACCGCTGAACAGGCTATGTATGCTATCCTGGAATATGCGTCGCAGGCCATTAGAGTTATTTCCTATCCATATAGTAGAGGTCTGAAAGCCATCAGTCGAGAGTCCGAAAGGTTTTGAGGGTGACAGGTTCTAATCCTAACAAGACCAAATAATGCTCGTGGCACCGCGCGGTCAGTCGCGTTTCCCGAATTCGCGCTCGCTGTTCGACGTGTGCTGGGTTTGGTCACCACTGTCTAGATGCGGAAGAAGCTTACCCCGTTCCAGAAGGTGCCTCACATTAATCTCGCTGCAGTCCTTGAATATCTAACACTCGAACCATAGCTCGTCAATGATGTTCGAACTACTGGGGATCCCCGCAAGATGATGGACCTCCACGCGCAAATCACACCTCAGAACTGTAGTCCACCAGTCCTCGAGGCTCTTCTCGTGCATACGGGGGTCCCCATTACGAAATTCGACTGTTCTATTACCGAAGCAGTCCCTTACCAGCGAGCCTCATTTATTCTTCTCGCCCTCGAGAAGGTAGCCATGTCGTGTCCTCGATCCCCCACTCTCATGTCGGCGACTACCACGGCGCTCTTCAACCACATTGAAGACCTCATCATTACCATGCTCTCTCTTGTCCAAGTCTCTTACAATTCGTTCGCTGGAACGGGACTTGGGACTCGCGTTTTCGAGGCGAATTTGCAGACAGTCTGCAACCTCGTGGATTGGATGATCGAACGTGACACCAGGCTTGCGGAAGCGCTGTACACTTCAGCGAGCGCTGGAAGGATGCTTCTGACTATGTGGTCTACGCCCAGACCTGATAGACCAGATGAATTCTTCATCGACTTCTTACACCCTGACGTCGTGAAGGTGATGCGACTATACCTCTCAAATGACGAGGGTCGCTCCACCATTTACGACCTCCTCTTCTCGTGCTCTCAAGATCTTCACGGTTTCTCACAGGCACTTGCTTGCAGGATGGAAATGATGGGGGACTATTGCTCAGCAGCCGAGTCATGGCCACCTACGGAAACGACTCAGCATTGGAAGCATATGACCCTCATCACATCCACCGTGTCCCAAAACGCAACAATCCGGCGTTCTTTGCGCCAGTTCGACTACCTCAGAGTCGCATCCTCATCTCTCTCAGTGGCGTTTGGAGAGTCTGGCTCACCTCTTCTGTTGCCCCTAACCGCTTCCCTCATGGCGGTTGCCGAAGACGCCTGGGGCTACCCATCTCACTCAATGTCGAGAGTTCTCCAACCAGAGCTTGTCACTTCTTTGCTCTGTTGTTTTCTCTCTATTACCAATCGACACGACAAGTTCATGTTCCCAGCAAGGTCCATCATAGCTGACCTCCGTCGTTACTCGTTCTACCCTCGTGCCATGGAGGCATTCGAGCGTGGACTGGACGATCTACCCGTCCCAATGCGGAAATTGTTTGGAAACTCGAAATGTCCTCTGGGAATCGAGTGCCGTGGTATTCTTGCAGCGCAAACATTCCATTTGAGGTCAGGAATTGAGGATCACCCGGTGGAGAAACCGGTACTCTGTGACAATTCCAACGTCAGTGTTTCCATCCTTGTCGTCTCAGATCTTGAATACTAACATCTCCTCAGCATCTTTCCACGAGGGTTTCGCGGAAAAGAGGTCCCATCAAGTCATGCTCGCGTTGCCGCACTGTCGTTTACTGCAGCGTTGCTTGTCACAAGGAAGACTGGGGGCGCAGGCACCAAAACGAATGCAATGAAATGAGAAACGAGTACATCGGTGAGTGCCCGTTAAATATCTTAGCCACTACCTCCAGCTGAACGAAGTGGGAAAGACAACAAAACGAAGCGACTGAGCTATCACCATTCCACACGGGCCTTCCATCTCAACTGGCTGTTGGAGTGTGATATTGAACTCATGAGCCTGTCCAGACGCCGCGTTACAGTTTTTGACAACAGCGATCTTGACGATGTTGACCAGGGGAACTTCGAGCTCCCCGCGGAAACTTACGAAAAGAACCGAAGTCGTTCTCAATGTTCGGCGTTGGAACGGAGGGTGGACGAGATGGTCAACAGCTGCAAAGGCGAGGATTCTCGAATGACCCTCGTTGAAATAGGAATCGCGAACGGAATGAATACCGTCGTATCTCTCGTCGTTCAACTGGAGAAAATCGAAAATGGGGTTGGTCCCGGAGTTGGTCAGTGCTGGAGACCCGTTCAGAGTGTCTCCCGTATTATGTACGTACGCCATTCGACAAGTTCTTTAGGTTCAAGCTCACCATTAATCTAGACATACCAAAAATGGACTATATCCACCCTCCGGTATGCCGGGCTTTTCGCCATCCGATTGCTCAACGGATACAGAGTTAGACGGCCTGTATTAAAGCTCGTACCTACGCACTCATTGATAGAATAGACATTAACCTAATGATCGTGCTCTTTCTCCCGTATTCAGATTAAACACAAGCCTATCCTGTTTGATATCCGATGTGTCAAGTTTCCGGGCTCGTGAGGACCCCGAGATCCCCACCTGGGCGCCCTACCGAGCTATCGGTGCTGCGTGCAAGATCATTGAAGAACTGATCGTCACATGAGACAAGTCAGCGCTTCAGCACTGCCATAGCGGGTCATTCACAGCAATTGACCATCCGTCCTTGCCTTCCTTCAACCATCTTCCATCGACTACAACTCAGGTCGAAGATCCCAACGACAATGGGTGCGTCGACCTCGAAGCTCACCGTAGGAAAGCGCTCAACAGGAAAGCATTCAACAGAAAAGCGCTCAACAGGACAACTCCACGCACAGGCGCAGAGCCCCCTCTGGGGTCTACTCCCTCCCGAGATTCGAGAGGACATATTCCTGGACGTCTTCACCGCGACGCCGAACCCAGAAAACCCCTATCCTTTCTTCAGCTATTACTATCGACCTGGGTTCACAGCGCCCAAGACAACGCACCTAGATATCCTCCTGACCTGCAAACAGGCGTACATTGAGGGGAAGGACCTAGTGTGGAAAGAACGCACTGGGAACACAGAGTTGGCGTTTTGGTGGGGCGAAGCTGAGAGGAGACCACCTCACGCCTTCGAACCTCGCGATAGTAGGCGTCAGTCACCTCTCATTACCCATGTCGCTCACTGATACTAACAATCCATTCTACTTTTGTCAAAAATAGCTCATCACCCCCGCCACGGCGTTCACAACGAAAACCACCCCTTCCAATCTCACTTCACCCAGTCGCTAACGACAGACCAATGGTCGAAGATCACGACGATCCAAATCTTCCCCCAGTTGTATACCTGTCGCCTCAGCACATACCAGGAGTTCTTCCGACTCCAACCAGCGCTCCAGCCGCACACCGTCAAAATCACGATCCGATATACAGATTGGTGGTGGTGGGAGAGAGGCCAAACCCTCGACATCTCCTCTCTTCGCCCGCACGATGATTTTATCTTCGACTACGAGAGGCGTATCAATCGTTTCCGTCTACCCAAGAGCTGCCGTACCCTACTCTTGGAATTGGAGACGAGTGAAGCGAAGAAGGATGAACTGACGGTCGAAACCCGGAAAATACTTGCCAACAGGAATGAGTGGAGGTGGAAACTGGACGGGGAAGGGTGGCTAGAGGTCGACCCGGAAGCGCGCGTCGAGGATTGGACATGGGTGGGCCCGACGAGATTCAAAGGAGAACAACATCCGGAACGGTATCCGCACCATCCTCAGGGTGATTCTATGACGTACATAGTCAAGACTTTGGCGTTCAAACAGCTTATTGTCCAAGAGAACTAGGAAAGTGAACCGTGTACAATAGATTCAAAGCCCTACATTCGATTATGAAGTGCCCCAATCTCGCCTAGGATATCTGACCATCAGCGGTAATTCGGAGAAGACACATACACAATGCGAGCGATGTGCTCCATCGGCCTCCAAACATATACTCCATCCGGTCCCGGCCTACCATCTCGCTGCAGGATGGCCAGGAGAAAAACATACCGCCCAGTTCCAATCCCAAACCTCCCTTCTACCAATCGAACGTGTGGGATACGTCGGGTACGGTACTGTGTGACCAACTCCAACGCCCTCACGTCGGCTCTGGCGCATGTTGAGGACTGCCAGGCGCGCAGGTACTCCTCCATACGTACTACTGTAATCTGGTCTCTCGCGGACACGTCGACGAAAATCCCCACGGAATCCGTCATGAGAACCCCAGCTTGTCTACGCTGGCGATCGAGGCTCACGCTGGCGCAGGTCCAGCGGTCCTCGACAATGCGACAATGGAGTTCACGCGTCCTGTGGTGGTACCTGCGACCTTGGTTCTTTGATACTGTAGCCAGACAACGGATGCCGTTGAGCTCTCAGTTGGTTCAGATAGATTACTTTAAACGGTACATACCAATCCAAGCGTGTCTGAAGCTGCTACAATCGAGCTTGTGCCTCTTCCAGTCTTCCTTTTGGCAGATTGTCCCGCAGTACACAACGGAGTGGCAGTTCGAGCACTCATAAGAGGTTTCGTAGAAAGTGATGCGATGAGAGAAATGCTAAAACCCTCATGAGTTATCCTTCACTAAGGGTAAGAACGAATGACTCACTGCCGGATTGTCGCAGAGAATTACACGGGGCTCTAGCGTCCCCACTAAAATTTCGTTCCGTTCAACCTCCATCACTAGCCCGGTGTACAGGGTGCCGACCTTATCGATCCGTTTGACTGCTTGGCTGACGGACGCCGGCACCCCTTTGAGAGCATGGCTTAAAGCAGGCAAACTCCGGTGATGGAAGGCGTATCCGTACAGTTTATCGAGGGCCGCTTCAACAGAAGAAAAGCTCGGGGCTTGTGGGACAGCTGATATCCCTTTCAGCATCCATACCAAAATTCCACTGTTAAGAACAGTTATAACAGCGGCGACCGTGTCGCTAGCCATGACAAAGGCTGCATGAAAGAGCGAAGCTCCGGTGGGAGGAACGATGGGCAGGCCAAAGCCTCGAGAGCAGATCTGAGAAGCGAGTCCACAAGCCTTCCCGAGGAAGCGGCCCCGTTTCTCAAGCATGCGGTAAAAGGTGATATGTTGCCCGAGAAACCCCGCAATCATCGCCATGAACTTGAGTTGAGTCATGACCGCGCCGCCCCGCTCAGGGTTCTGATTTGCGATTTCCGTGAGCTGCGATAGGCGGTCAAAGAAGGCTTTGACAAAGGTGCGGCGCAGATTCGAAGAAGCGAGGAGCGCTGAAAGGATGGCCTGGCCACCTTCGAAGGACATCGTGTAGGTGCAGATCATACCGATCGTTTCTTCCATGCGGTACTCTGTCATGAAGGGCGACAAGTGGACTCTAGAAGGGTTGTACGGGTCCCTCCAGCACCAAACACGCAGGGCTATGTCGATCGCTTTCGTTGAGGCGATCACGGCGGACTGGAGTCGCTCATCGAGTTTGATCAAGAAAGCGATAACCTGGCACGTGGTATCCAGGGCTTGTTGCAATCTGGCCAGTGGGATGAACGATTGGGGGTACACACTCTCCCAGTTCGTCCACCGAAGGAGTCCATCTGTCGCATTGATGAAGTCGTCGAATTCCCGTAGCAATGTCTCGACGGTCGCCTCCTTCAAGGGCTCGCTGAGCAACATGGCTACTCGCAAGACATCAGTCAGGCAAATCAACGCGGCCCCACACCTGTTCATCGTATCTCCAAAGCTGGGAGGCGTGGGTTCTGGTGATGCTGGCACGACTATACCGTGTAGATGGATAAGGCACGTCTGAAGCAGATCCAGTGTGTAGTTCTCCGGTGTGATCATTCGCCCCAGACTTTGGAGGGACATGGGATCTCCGCGCTTCGCTGCTTCGAGAACCTGCGTATAAGCGTTAGAGGTACTTTGCGGCAATGGACAAGTGGCGTACGGATGCTTCGATACTCATTGTAGCCAGTTCACCAGAGTCGTGAAGAAGGTTCGGTGCGCGTGTCTACTCACTGCTGGAGACATGTTTGTTTCTGTTAGTTTCAAAGGTCGTCGACTTCACCTGCCATGGTCGGGTGGTCGCTTAGGAGGGTGGACACTCGAATATCATGATGAATGTCGAGCGTCGTTCTGCACTTTCCAAGACCAACGACTCGACAGGGAGAGGGTTCCAGATCAAGATTAAAACATTAGTTACAGGAATAAACATGTAGAAGAAAAACAACGAAGTGTCCAACGTGCACTTCACCCCGCTCGGCGCTTCAGGCCTCAGCGACGAAGGAATCCCTCAAGGCTATTATACTCGCGAAGCCCCGGAACCACAGGCCTAACCACCCTTCTATTCGTCACCACAAGCGCATTTCGAATGTCCATGTTCGGTCGGACGACGAGGTTCAACCACCTGAACCGCTTCGTTCGTTCTCGCTGTCGAAAACAAATTTTAACAGTGTCTGTAAATGATCTGACGAATCGGGAGTAGAGTAGAGAATGTTGATACGCACATGTGCTTTCCAAAGGTCCCAGGTCTGCGCGACGATGACCCGCAGGCTCTCGAGCTGCCAGCTGTCGTCGACAACCTTGCATTTGAACAGGGTCTCTCTGAGGCCGGGGAGGCGGTGGAGGGAGTCCCAGAGGATAGCGGCGAATTGGCTGCCCTGTGTGCTGTGGACCTCAGACTCGACTGATAGATACGACTTCGCATCGAACTATAAAGGATAAACGATCAGAACGCGGAACCTCATCGTGCGGGCGAATGCACACAAGAAAAGACGCACGTAGATGGAGTTGAACCTCTCTCCATCCTCATCTTCGTCATCTGATTCACCAACCCAGGCATCCTTGAGGTCCCCAGAGCGGCCCTGAGAAGGAGAGGAATCAGAATCACGCGCTATGACAAGTCGGATGAATTACTTACCCCACTATCCCAACGCTCGTACGCCTCGGCCACCAACGACTCTAACACCTTCAGATCGGCTCGAGTAAGGTTAAGTGTGTTCAGGAGTTCTTTCCGCAGCATAGGCGAGCACCATAGCGAGAGGAAAAGCGTGGCCGAGAATTGCTGGGCCAAAGCAACACGAGGATTGGTTGCAACCTTGACGTCGCCTGCATCCTTCCTAAAAAACCGAGTCGTGACATCGATGAGAGAAAAGACGGGCGCTAGAGTGAGGAGAACCGGTAAGACCTGCGCGCAGGGGGGTTAGACGGATACGAGCGGATGTGGTAACAAGATACATACTTGTCCAAAGTTCCATTCCGTATTGAGGTTGTGCTCCTTCGTGTAAGTCTTGATCATGACTTCGGTTGAGATGATCGTGAAAGCCACGAACTGCGAGGAAACATGTCAGTGCCGTGATGATCGACGAGCTAAGGCCACGCACCATCAACGCCCAGATAAAGTCGAAGTTGCGGAGGAGTACACGAGGCGGCTTGATTGTCTTCCCAAACACCTTGAACTCGGACCAGAAAGGAGGGCGTTCCCTGAAGAGGTGTGAGTACTGGGATTACGACGGATGGACAAATACTCACTTCGATAGCCGCGCCAAAAGTTCGAGGTTACTCGGGGTCTTGGGGACCTTTCGGAAGAATAGTTCGAGGATCGCGTTGCCCAGCATCTTCCGGCTCTTACAGGTGCGCACAACGAACAACAAGGCGTTGATGGCCCATAGGACCAGTTGAACCTTGCGACCCTCCTGCAGATCGAGCCCGAGAAAGGTCACTTTCATGGTACCGTTGCATTCGTACCAGGCAGCGCCAAAGGTGGGTGCGGTCGCCCAGACGTAGAGTCCGAACGTGCAGCTGAGCAGGCTGCAGAGGGTGCTGCAGAGGACCCAGAGAGCCGAAGGCCGGCGATGTAAAAGCGCCACGTCCTTCATTCGAGAGACGAATTCCGAGTTCATAAAGTCGCATGCGTAGAAGGCCAGGAGAACGGCTGGATATCCGGTCAGCTAAGGGGGGAGAAAGGTAGGCGGAATACTCACCGTCGATAATTATAAGCGCATCCACCAACGATATCTCCTTCCTCACTCCGGTTACAATTCCAGCAACACTAAGACCCAACGCCGTTGACACCATCGACCAATGCGAACTCGATACATCCTTGGGAGACAACCATACGAAGAGGACTACCGGGTAATTAGATTACACGGTGTTTCAAGATCGTAAGATGAAGCGTGTATCTTACTTGTAGAGACAGTTTGAATGTAGAAGGCGGCGCGAACTCCAGGGCCTGAATGAATGGAATTGAGACCCTGTGAGCGGAATGGGGCAATGGGTGGCGATTTCCATACCTGCAACATCCGCTCGGCTGCGAAAGGGATCGTCAGTAAGTGCTCTAACCCTAGGTCAATAGTTCCGTACATAGGGAATCCATCAAGGCAGTTTTCGTCCGTCGTCGACATAGCTGGGGTGAAAGAATGAATGAGAGAAGTCGGATGCCACACCACGTTCCTTGCAGTGCTGGTGGGTGACGATCGAGCTTTATCAACCTCTCTTGAGGTTCTTGGCAGCACGCCTGGTGGCCTACGTGCGTTCGGTCGGTGGCATATCGTCAAGCTGGACAAACGAGGAGAATGGCCGAAATCTGATTATCTTGAGCCACTGTGAGGAGTGCCGGTCGGTGAGTGGTATCTAGCCGAGAGAAGTAGAAACTGCGAGTCAGACACGGGTCCATGATTCGCATGTTGAGAAAACATACGCCATCGCGAGTTATCAGCCTTTGACCGCAACTGCGAGAGCGAGGAACGTTACCGTATGGGCTACGTATGGGCATTGGTTGAAAGCAAACGAAGAAGGCAAATCTCCGACGACATGTCAATGGAAATCGGGCACCGCAAGTCGATACCTTCCAATTCTAACACAGACAAGCAAACTTCGAATGAGGAGCGCCGTCTCGAGACCCTTTCTCTGATGAAAGCCGGGGCAGGAAACTCAGCAGAACTTACTGAGGGTAAGCAGTGGAAAGCCTTGTACTATATTTATGTAAACCTAGGGTTATGACGTCCAGGTCGCACCTCTCGACCTTGCTTAAGGTTGCTAGTTACAACGGGCGCTTCGTTTCTGTCCGTACCTTTCATGAGCCTCCTGACCTTCAAGTCGAACGATCAGTCGCTGTACTACAGTCTACTACCAATATAACCTACGTGCCGCAAGACAGAGTCGATCCGTTTCCTCATTTCTGCTAGTACCTATAATCAGGGGGGGTAACGACGATTGGATGAGGGGGAGAGAGCGACCCATCCATCCTTCAAATTTCCAGCGACGATGTACGATGAACGGTACACCGCACGCGAAGTTCGAACTTCGATGTTCGTTACAGTTAATGTGCCTTTGAATAGAGTCTAGACAGCCCCGAAGTTCGAACCACAACCACAAACCCACAAGGCACCACATAACCCAAGACTATTCAGAAAAAAGCAAAGCACGACTCGAAAATCAAAATAGATACTCGATAGGAACGACACTATACGACACAACAATTGCAACAAGCATTCCAACAAACGAGTAGACACACGAACGAGCAGACAGACAAACGAGAATGGAGCGTTCCAACTTATAAGTATGTACAAGCAACATACGCCCGCATCTCGAATAAGGAATGTTCAGAACGTATAGAATGGAATGGAATGTGTTAGATCGACCGACCGACGCCGTGGGGCCAGGAGATGCTCGATGACCGTGAGGTGTAGGAAGGAGAATCATCTACTCGAACGTCAAAATATCCTACGATGAATGAAGTCTTCACTCGTGAAAGCAGACAAGGAGGAACGGGTCGTGTATGCGGGATAGCCTATAGGCGGGACGTATAGACGACTGTGCAGGAAGGCTACAACTTACAACCAACCCAATCCAACCTGACAAGAAACGAGAACGAAGAAGAAAGCCACAAAAAAATTAAGATTAAGTGAACACGGTTCAAACCGCTACGCAGATTAGGTTACAGGGTAAGTACTACGATATACAGAGGTGCGCGAGGTACAAGTCGATGGGTGATCAAGAATGGGCGATGTGATTAGGAGGCACGAAGTATAGGCGGCGTAGTGGAGATGAAAGGTGTGGTCGAGATGAAAGATGTAATCGACGACTCGAGATGAAAAGCAGTGCGTAGGCGTAGCCGAAGGTGAAATGGGATATCGACGAACACAAAAAGGGGTAGACTAAGCTAAGATTATCCACAACACCCTCCACCACCACCACCAACAACAAAAAAGCGACACGAAACGAGGATATCAAAAGCGTAGAATGCGAGGCCAGCTCACCCAAACAGAAAGAAACAATAGGGTAGAATAGAATAGGACAGGGTTGGATAGAATAGGATAGAATGGGGTATACCGAAACACGCCAAGACCAAGGTAGATTCGGATACCCATGACAAAAAAGCCGACTCCACACACTCCACACCTCGCCGCAAAATTCAGCGGGGACAGGTCACGAGCAAAGGGAGCGGTCCAAGTCTAGACCTCCCATGCCCAGGTAGCCGTTCCCAAACAACCACCCACCCTGCCCAGCCTAACCCGACCAACCCACACTCCTCCCAACGCAACCCCAACGGAACCGGCATCCCAAACGCAATCGACCACATCTAGGCCCACACCTCTACGCCATCGCCAACCCCCTCAACCGCTCCAACTCCTCCCACCCCGGAAGGTCCATCATCCTCGGCAACCGACTCCACATCTCCTGTACCGCACCCTCCTGCTTCTCCCTAAACGCGTCCAAGCAAACCTTGCAAAAACTCGACGCAAAGGCGTCATACTGCTCGTCGAAGAAGTCGAGGAAACCCGCTGTGCCCCATCGAGTCAAAATGTCCGCACAGCGCAAGCGGATTTGGTGACACCCGTCGCCCGTGGTGCTCGTGCATTTTGGTGAGGCGTCGTCCTCGTCGGGGTTGGCAGCGGGGTTAGGCGGGGCGCGGGCATGCTTTACGATAGACAGCGCATGTGCATTTTGAACGAGCAAAAGCTTGTTGCGAGCGTTAATACACAGCCGCTTATCAGCCCAGCTAAGCTCAACCCGTCCACCCTGCCAATCGCACCCATCAAGCGTCTTGGCGAGGTCGTGGCTGCAGATGCAGTACACGATCGAGGGCACGAGCCACGGCAAGTCGAACTCGGTGGCGAGGTTGAGAGCGGCAAAGGGCGTGTTTTCGATGGAGGGAATGGTGCGGGTGCTGTCGCGGTTTTTCCAGCCGGCGAGGGTGGTCGGGTAGGTCGAGACGAGGTGGTTGAGCGCGCGTATGCGGAGGTAGCGCACGTCATATTTTGTGGCGAGGCGGAGGACGGAGCCGACGATGTCGAGCGTCGTCGGTGATGGCGGAGGCTCGAAGAATCTGGGCGACATTCAGGAATGAAATGAGAACGAGGCTTTTAGCCGGTATCACAGATGTAAACTCACTCGGAAAAGAGGACGGCTTTTAAAAAGTAGGTCATGTCCTGCGCCGAGTCGTAAACTTGAACAATGGGGCATCCGTCCATGGTGTGGTTGCCCTCGGGTGGTGGTGGGAAGCCGAACATGTCGCTGAAGACGGAGGAGCGGGCTGAGAGGTGGCCACGGTAGATGCGGAAGATGGTGTTCTCGGCTTGCAGGATGAGGTTGCCGTCGTCGAACCAGATCTCGTCTGAGCGGTGCAGCTGCTCAGCACCGAGGTCCATCGGGTCGGTGTTCTCGATGAGCGGCGAGGAGGCCATCGAGGACGACGCTGACGACGACGCCGAAGAGGAGGCGGAGGAAATGCAAATGGTGCCAGTCATCTATGTGGAGTGTCGTCTATAGTCTTGTATCCGGGGCCCTTGTGGGGTTTTAGGCGAGTCTAGAGCGAGAACGCGGGGTATAAAGACGACTGTCTAGAGGGAGTCGTAGCAGACGGGGAACAGGAAACGAGAAAGATGATGGCTCGAGAGAAAGAAAGGGTTATATGGAAGGACCCTCGCTCGACAAAAATAAAAAACGAAAAAATGGTGCTGTGGTGGTGCACGGACGTGGCCCGATCGGGGCTTTTGGCTACCCCGTGCCCCGACTTCCGGATCATTTACAACGGCTTCGGATGCAAAATCGACCGCCGTGCCGAAAAGCCGGTGGGAGCGGGATGCAGGGCCCTTCAAGGTTTTTGCAGCACCCAGTGAGTCGACTCGGTCTCGCCAGATCGGTGTCACTCCTGGTCGCATTCAATGGTGGAATGGAACAAGGAGGAGGTGGGTGGTACGATCTCGCCGTCAGTCTCCGGATCGCTGGGCCGAGTGAGTGAGTGGGGCGACAAGACGGGGAACGTGTTGGGCAGCGAGGTGGATAAGAAGAGGGACTAAGCGATGTTTGCGTACGTGTACATGTTTGAATTAGCTTCGAATGAATGAGGGAACGACGAGAAGGCTTACCTCTAAGCCCTACTTGACCGTGAATGGGCTCGATCGTTCAGGGTCATCGTGCATCCCTAACATCGAGGCTTCCGCTTCTGGTTTCCATTTTCTCTTTCGTTAGGACGTTCCTGCGCACTGAACGGTTTGTGGGGTGCTGTGTATCGTCATCTGTGGATAATTGAGTGGATTAGGAGGAAGAGCGTCCAGAATTGGTTGGAGGAGTGGGTGGATGAAAGTCAACCAGCGGGAATCCTGTTCGATCAGTTGGCGAGTGGTGACGTCAGCTACTTTCCCGCCCCGGAATGTGCCCAGGTCCGCCTACAGCCTTCGCTTTCTGCACGTCGTTTATAGTCCGTTCGTCTAGTGAATGAGGGAGTTCTTCCATCTAATCAAGCTTTCAGTGTTGGTACCATAGCGTCGGCAGTAGGCTACCTCCTTGGACCCCGTTCATTCCGAAGATAGCCTTGCGATACACGAGGGGGAGCAGGATCTATGAAAGCTTCGCGTTGATCCCTGGTCAACACCTGGTTATCGATTCCTGGTCAATTCATAAGTGATCGATTCCTGCTTAACTTCTGGTTATCGATTCGTGGTAAACTCTTTCAATTCCATTATGTGGTGCTTGAACTTCAGTTCTGGAGTACTGATATTTTTTAAATTCGGTCATATCTACGGCGACTCATCACGGTCTCCACCTGAACTTCGGCGCTGGACCGTGAACAAGTCCATCATGATATCTATCGCCTGGACTCTGACGACGGAGGAAGGGAAACCGGAGAAAGGGATTCGGGAAAAGGTAGGTAAACATGATGGAAGCTGTGTTCAGCAACCCTAGAGGGGGTTAGACTGGACTGGAGATAGACTAAACTGGATATAGTCTGACATGAATCATGATAGTGATATTGGAAGTCTAAACTTGGCGCTCATGTCGTACTCCAAATCTGTCAGTCATTCTCGAGGATGGTATGTACTCTCGAAGGTGAATTCGGTATGTACTCTCGAGGGTGAATTCCGAGAGTATCGAGGGTGCATTCCGTCACTCATGCTCCGTGGTTTTCGATGTCGTCCTAGGGAGCTTCGATCCGCATCGAAATCGAGCTTGACCATCTCCAGACTCCGTTTCGACCGGGTGGATAACGCTCCACTTACTTGTAAGAGTATCGACCCGTTTTCCTATACTTATAAGCATAGCAGCCTCGATTTACTTAGCAGCCATGCTCTCGTCGCTCTTGAGAGGACTGACTGCCAACGTGGAAGTTAGAACATGCAGAGAGTCTACGGGGTGCTCGGGCGAGGCGTTTTATGTTATCTTCGGCGCTGAAATGCAAGTAGGTCAGAGCTCTCCGTTGCGATGTGTAAGTTCATCACGCGTATATGATATGTACGACATTCCCCACTGGCTTGAAACACTCCATCGTGATGAGAGGATTTTCACGACCTTGAAGCCTATATGTACTTAACTTAGTTCAGACTGAGATATGGGGTGGACACGTACCATACGAGCGGTGCCACCGATCCGATGTCGAATTCCGCATCGACTGGAGTCTGGCCGTGGATGACGACCATCTTGGGAGACGACTAAGAGCATCTTGGAACGATCGATGCATCTTGGGGTAAGTTCCTAATTTAGGGTATGGTCTACTGTACATTGGCATTCGCGCTCAAGGATTGGGGGGGCGTACATAGCTCCAGAGGAGTCGACCTTCTTTGGGGTATTAGTCGCGAGGTCGATGGTCGGTGACGCGGACTCCTTAGGTGGTCTGACTGGTCTTCCAACTCCAACTCCCCTCGATGAGGGCTACTCGGATGGATCAAGGCGTTGGATTCGAATCCGAGTCATAGCTGAAACCAAGGAATGTAGTGACCCAGACTCAGTAGCCTTTAATACCTCTGTTCAATCCACCCTTTGAACATCAAAGCGTTCGGACTTGACTTCCGCCGTATTACTGTATAAAACTTTCGATTCTCAAATTCGAGGATATTTACGGGGTCGCCTACCAGCTGTCCTAGTTGTGGCCTCTGAATCGATCTGTGCTCGCCTTGTTGAAGCGCCGGTGTGTTACTTTTGTGTCTGGATGACTGGTGGTCTTCCCGATTCCGATTGAAAGTGACTAGGAGCAGGCGATAAGCTGATAGAGTGGACAATGCTGAATGTCAAAAGGGAAGTACTACGTACTACGACTTTCATCGACGACTGTCAACTTTCCTTCTGTCATCTACCTCGTTTTTCCGACCAACAATTACAGCTAGCATAGCGATGCGATATGTCGCGAGGAATCGCTAGCTCCTAATTGACTATGTATGCACGGGTACGGGGCAATTGAAACATCCTGAAAGGCAACTTGTGACAAGTGAAAAGGATGATCGAGATCGATTTTTGGTAAGTACTCGACTGGCACGCGCCATTTGATCTCGATTCTCCTCTCCCTGTTCATTACTTATCTTTGACGTTGGATGAGAGTATCGGCGAGGCAACAGCGGGTGTACATTTACTTAGCACTCCATGTCCTGTGCTTTCTCAGACTATCTTCAACAGTAGTTTACGAGGGGAGATGATTGACCAACCGGTCTGGTGGGCTGTCCTGGTATCGGCCCTGCTAAGTAGAGATGAGGGCTCGAGCTGTCACCCGAGCCCTCGAGTATTGAGTATTGGAAGATTGACCACGGTCCACGGGATTCCAGGCGTACATCCTATTACTTTGTCATTTCGACGCTTCTCAGTGATTTCTCTGGTACGAATTGGGAGCGTGATAATCGGTATTCGGTATTCCATGTCGACAGATTTCTCGCATTCCTTTCGAAAGGGATTAGCCTAAGGTGCTCTCAACAATTCAGCCATCTATATTTAATTCATTTAGGCATAGGGAACGCCGTAAGTGCATAACACGGGAGAAGACCGCCCATTCTAAGCACTTATGTAGTAGGCCACAGCTTCCCGGAGAACCATTTTCCCATGTTCGACGGTCCACTCTTTGGCGTGCCATGGGTGCCATCGGCGACCATCGACGCGGACATTCATTGGACGTTCACTTTCCGTCTATGTTAATAATATATTTTCGCAATGTCCGTCTCCCACCGAACGTCGCCCAACAACGCCTCCTCTCCCACCATCGACACCGACGTCGACGTTCTGTACAGGCGAATGACAGGGATAATTAAAAAGCTTGATGCCACGAGCGCTCAATTTGACGCCACCAGAAGTTCGACTCTTTTAAGTTCGTGTGGCGGCGAATGAGAGTCGATTGGGGTACGTAAGTATGTAGCGTAGTAGTGGATGGGATTAAGTAGCGCGACTTGTGTATACTTCATTGCATCGGTATACATAAGATCGCGAAGTAAGTAAGATAGTAACCAGGATGGACTACATAGTGCATACCGTCGTTAGGCACCCAGACGAATGAATGTACATACATACCAACTATGATATCTGTGACAGAGCGATCCACTTTATGTTCCTATCGTGAACCAAGGGAACACGATGAATTTAGTCTGAGAAAGCCGGGAAATAAATAGATCATCCTCGCTCATCCTATTGTTATCTGCAGGCGTGGTGTCCGAAAGCGAAAGCCACGAGGAGCGGCCGTCCGACCAAGAAAGGTCACGATGTTGTTCTAATTTCTTAGATCTCGGTCTGTGAGAGGTAAGTGTATGCCTACCCTAACCCTGTATGCATACTGCTGCGAGTCGGCTGACGGGTGGGTTTAGTAGGCGCTGGGGGTATGTCACAGCAAAGCGCTGTAGGGCTGAGAGTGATTAGATGCATGTAGAAGATGTAGAGTGCTGATGAGGAAACTTACATACAGTACTTACACCACCTTGGAGTTGAATCGATTCTCGTTCTTGGGCAGAGGTGTGATGTGATGATCGTCAGATTCTATTCGTCAGTCCTGGCTCTACGCTGCTCCAAGGTAGGCTTCGAAGAGTCTACGGACTTCGAAGTGAGAGTCTACGAAAACCTGATTCTTCCTCCGGAGTCCGACTCTTTCGTGGAACCTAGGTGTTGGACGAACTGTTTCTGGAAAGTAAAATATACAGGCGCTTCCCGATTGCTCCGGATCCGACTCGTTCAACATCGTTTCTGGAAAGTAAAGTACATACATAGTCTCGTCGCAGTCTCCTGTTGTGATTTCCTACTTAGAATTCCTTCCCAGAATTCCATCCAGTAACATACCTCGTACCTACTCCTCGTCGTTCCTAGATTTCCAGGTACAATACGCACGTATAAGTACCTTCATTCCTAAGCAGTAAATCTGTACTTAGTACTTACCCCTGGTGCTCTGGTCGGAGTGCTCACGGCTCCGAACCTCCTATCTAACATACCTCCAATATATTGGGGCAATCCCATTCATTCGTGCGACCCATATCCCATCATTCCAGCAACATTCGAAGAACTTGATTTGAGCGTCTCCAGACTCCACGACGTCCCCCCATCAGAACGTCGACGCCAGAATGAGAATTAGGAATTTGATTTGGTCGGGAAACCTCTGATTTATTCTGATTCGGTCGAGAAACCGCTGATTTGGTCGAGCCTGGGATCAATTCTGATGAATTTCGTCGACGAATTGATTCGATTGCACGCCCGAAGGGCCCGGTCGCCCAAGCCTGTGATTGGCTGATGGCATCACGGCGAAGGCTAAGGGATGGATGTACAAACGGGGACAAACGACGTCTTTCGTCCCGCTCCTCCTGTCCGTCGTCGTTGTTGTCGTTACATACTTGCATTCTTGTTTGTTGTTCTCCATCGCAATTCCTTTGTATCGGCGCCCCCTATTGACGAAAGTTCATTTCAATCGACGGACGACGTCTTCGACCCTTCAACAAAACGACGACCTCAGTTGCCCTTGCGGTTTCGGATTGGGTGGACGGGTGACAAGACAAGACAAGACAAGACAAGGGGAGGGAGATCATTACAAGGCAGGACAGAGACGTAGGAGTGGAAGACGTAGGACGGGAAGGAGATAGCAAGGCGACACCCGGATAGACAGACAGGAAGGAAGGACAAGTTTAATACCAGGAGGAGGAGGGGATTGAGCGCTAGGGTCAGTGATAATTACTCTTTTCATTAGAACGTGCGTTTAATACTCACGTTTATACTACGCCTTCTATAGACAAAAAGCTCGGAAGGACAGGCCTTTACCTCACCTGAACGCCTGGAAGATACCTAAGCGCCTTGAAGATACGTTCGTCAAAACGCCTCGCCATTCTCATCGACTAAACGAATCAGCGACACCTAATCAGCTCTCTGCGCTAAGCGAATCACCGTCCTCGCCTACGTACATTCCTCGCCTCGGAGGGAGCACGGACGTCCATCGGACTTGGGTCTCGGAGACGCACACACACAAAACGCACATCACACAGCCGAGCCCTCGACTCGAGGGACCCACAAACAAACAGGTCTCATTCGCTTTTTTCATTCCCTCTTTCGTGACGCCAGCGAGGCGTTTGGTTTCGACGACGAGAGGGTGTTTATTCTCGCTCAGCGCTACCGCACCGCACGTCGACTCTCGACCAGCGACTATCGACTAGGCTCAAGAGAGGAGACTATCGACTGCATACCCGAGGAGAAGAAGGGAAGAAAAGGATACCTTACCTTTCCGCTGAAGACGGCTAGATCGACGAGAAGCGCGACTGCGAGTGCGACTACGTTTAGGCTCTATCCGTCCGTCTCACGCTCGGATTCATATATCACACCACTCGTTCCAGCACCACCAGGATACCCTTACCCAGGATGGCGATTGTTGAAGAGGTGCTGTCGCCGCCGCCGTCGTCACCGCAGCAGCAACAGCAGCAGAGGAAGAAGAGGGCGGGGAAGAGGAGTGGGAGTGGTACGAGGAGTGGAGGGAATGGAGGAGGGGGAGCGTCGACGCCTGTGGGAGGGCAGAGTGGGAATTCGAGTTCGAGGTTGAGGAAGTGGTTTAGTATTTCGCCGGGGAGTAAGAGCGGTAAGACTAGGGTTAAGAGGTGTGTATCCATTCTATACTACTGGATGCGCTGGCTAACATGCGGTGTAGGCCGTCGAAGCGGAGGAGTCAAGCTCCGGTCAACGAGGAGGAGCAACTATCCAGGTGCGTAGCCCTCTCCTACTCCCTTTCCACAGTCTAATAGGCGTACAGCTTTTCCTCAACCGCCACGCGCTCCTACAAATCCCTCTTCTCGCGGCGCCCGTCGACTAGCAGCACCACGTCCACCAAAAAGCCGTTCACGCCGTGGCTCCCGCCGGAGCTGTGGGTGCTCATCTTCCACCACGCCTGCTCGCCCTCTCACCCCTTCCTCTCCTCCGCGCTCATCGCGCCGAACGAGCCGCTCTCCTTCCTCGAGTTCCCGCACTCGCATTCGCATCTACTCAACGACTATAGGAGGAGCATGCGCTCCAAAGCGACGATTACGTATGTGTGCAAGCTGTGGCATTCGATTGGGCAGGAGGTCTTGTACGAGTTTGTGTGGATTACGAGGGCGAGGGAGGCGGCGCTTTTGGCGGAGTTGTTGGATAGGAAGGCGATTCGGGACGTCTCTGCCGACTCCACCGCCGCTGCCTCCTCTAAAGGCAAGGGCAAGGGGAAGAATATCGTTCGGCATGGCCACCAACTATCCGACACGACGAATTTCGACTATAACAATCGCGGCGCGTATACATACCCCTGGGATACGAGGGGCGTTGGGAGGCATATACGACGACTGCATATCGAGACGAACACACTTGATCGGTGTGCCCCGCAGGATTTGTTGATGATTTTGGACCATGCCCCGCTTTTGCAGGTGTATTCGGATTATCAGTCGATTAGGCGGACGACGGGGTTTACGATCATTGCGCCTGCTTCGCCTAGTGCGTCGGCGAGTTCGAGTGGGAATGCGAGTTCGGGGTTGGGTTTGGGTTCGAGTAGGCCGAGTTCGAGGGGGTCGGAGGGGTCGTCTAGTTCGGGGTCGAGTTCAGGCTCGAGTTTGGGGTCCACCATTATCACGTCCACGTCCACCTTCACCTCTTCTTCCGAAGCGTCTTCGCATACCACACTCCCGCCACCTCAGCAACAAGAATCGGACCAACAAGTCCTCTCAGCTCTCCTCGCCCACCCGGCGCGGCGCACGAACCTCCGTCGGCTCTCGTGGACAAACTACGAATACGAGCCGGAGGACTACGAAGCGGGCGTCCGGTTCTACCTGCGCGTCGTCGGTCCTAAACTCAAAGCCGCGAAGGAGAATCTGGAGTTTTTGGAGCTGACGTTGTGTGCAAAGGATTTGAGGGGGATGACGGGTCAGGGGGGCACGGGTGGAGGTTTCTTTGAGAGTGTGTTGATGGGTGGGGGCCTGGGGGGCCCGGATGTGGGAGGTGGGATCACAGCTAGCTCCTTAACGACTTTGAGCGCCAGTCTCACTAGCACAGTTACGACTACCACCATCTCCTCTTCGCCTTCCTCTTCACCGTCAAGTTTCTCCTCCTCGTCGCCGCTTTCCAGAACGCTATCGAGGGAGACGCTAAAGAGTATCTCGGCAGCGAGTCCCCTCGTCCTTCCTGCGTTGAGGAGTTTGAAGGTGACGCTTGATAATGCGACGTTCCATGTTCTTTCGACTTGGGAGATGCCGAGTTTGAGGAATTTGAGTGTTGTTAGTGCGGATTTTAGTTATGCTGGTGAGTGGTTTCTGCGTTTTTCTTTTTGGTTTTTTGGTTGGTTTGGGGTTGGGGTTGGTTGGTCGGTGTCGTTGCTCGTACCTTTTCTCTTCTTGCTATCATTTTCGTTGATGTGTCTTTTGTATTATCGCATTTTCCCTTTCGGATTGCGAGTTCTTTTCGTCCTTTTCTTCTTCGTGGTCGAACGAACCTTTTCCTCATCGTTGGACTTGTAACCCCCCCTTTTTCTTTCCTCGGAATTGTTGGACGTGGCTGACACGTATCTACCCTCCCATAGGCGAAGGGTTCAAGAACTTCTTCGAAGTGCATGGAGCGAAGATCCAGCAGCTCGAGTTGGGCCATTCGACGGGTGCTATTGAAGAGTTTTGGTTAACTGCGAACCCGAATGGGGGGTTCAACGGCGCCAATGGTGCGGTACCCACCTTCTCCTTCTCCTACCTTATCGCTAACGAATGCATCTGCTCAGGTAACGTGAATAACGCCAACGCCAACGGTACCAACGCAGGAGGAGGAGGAAACGGGAACGCAGGGGCAAACGGGAGCGCTAATACGGGCTGGACGTTCGGTTCCACGCGTGTCCCGTTGGCCGAGTGGTGTCCCAATCTCTCCGAGTTTATATGTTCTGCAGATGCGGAATGGAATTGGCAGAACCCAGATTGGATCGCCCCGCATGTTCTTTTGCCGGCGCATCCTACTTTGAAGTTTATTGGTGAGTTTTGTAAAGTTTGATCTGCTTTTTTATTTTTTGGTTTATGGGTGTGCTCGTTATGTTGGTTTGTGGGTGTGCTCCTCATGTCGTGGTTGTGCTCGTTCTGAGTACGGAGAGTTTTTAGTTGGGTGGTGCGAGGACTTGCTCGAGTGACGTGGCGGATTGTTGGGTTGGTGCTCTCGCTCGGTCGACCGTGCAGAGTGCTACGCCTTCGCCCATCCTCGCGTTATCGCGTTTGGGCCTTGGTTTGTTCGTGCTTCCACTTCCCCCGCCTTTTCGACCTTTGCTTTTTCATCGACCACCCCCTGGCTCCCGAGCTGGTTTGATTGTGTGCTAACCTCCCCTTTTTCCCAACAGGTGTCCGCGACATGGAAAAACGAATCCTCGAAGCACTCGAACGAGTCGAGTACCGCGACCTCGTCGCCGTTCGGGAAGGACGAGGTTTGGTTGGACTTGAAGACCTCGATGACGACTCGGATCCTTCGCATTCCTCACCCAACGCCAACGCCAACGCGGCCAATGCCCCGCACGACGACCCATTCTTTATGCTCCAAGAGCAGATTGGGAGTTTGTTGAGGAGGGAGGCGTTCCCTGGATTGCGGTATGTGAGGGATTTGAGTCCTGTTAGTGAGGTTATTAGAAGGACGGGGAGGGTTAGTCTTTCGGTGTTGGGAGGTGGGGGATTGGGTGTTGGAGAGGATCGGGAGGAGGGGGAGGAGGGTTCTGTGAGCGGAGGGGGAGGAGGGGTGTTGGGGAGTGGAAGTGGAAGTGGAAGTGGGGGCTTGGGTGGTGGTGGTGCGGCAGCGGTGCCGGCACCGCCGCAGCCTTCGTGGGGATGGTGGGGATGGATTTTGGGCAGTCAGCAGACGAGGCAGTATATTGCGAATGCGACTGCTGCTGCCGCGGCGGGTGGTGGTGGTACTGCATCTGCGACTTCAGCGCAAGCAGCCACGGCAACATCGGCTTCGACGTCCATGGCTCAACACTCATCGTCGTCCGCTCATCCCTCGTTGACATCGTCCACTCATCATCCATCGTCGTCTCAACCTTCTTCGTCAGGCCCTTCTTCGTCGTCCACGCCCACCCCGCCGCCGCCCGCTGACACCCGTCCGAGCGGTCGACGCCTTCAACTCCTCCAAGAACGCCAGCAAGGTCTGAGGGTGTTACGGTTTTGGATGAAGGTGATGCGGATGTTTAGGGAGAGGGGTGTGTGGTTGGAGGATTGTGATGGGATGAATGTGACGGTTGCTAGTTTGAGGAGGGCTGCTGCTGCTTCGTCTTCTGGGAGTTCGTGAGTGGGCTTCGAATGGCAGAACGACGGCCAGGGGAAGGGAAGGTGGTGGGAGTAGGTTCGTGGAGTTTTTTTTATTTCTGTTTTGTGCGTTGTTGGTCGAGGACTGTTCGCGTATATACCATTGTGTTATCCCCGTTTTTTTTTTTTTATTCTTGATGTGTTCGCACTTGTGGATTGGATCTTTTCTTTGTTTCTCTCTCTCTCTCGTCGCTGTTTCTGGTTTCTTGGGCTCGGAATTTCTTGCTATCTCGCTTTGTGTTTTTTCTTTTCTTTTGGTTTGCTGTTTCTTCTCTCTTTCCGCTCGTCCGAGGCTTTGTGGACGTCGTCGGCGTCTGTTGCGTCGTTTGGACGTCGTCGTTGGTTGGAAGCTAAGTCGTCGACGTTGATGTCCTCGCTTTCGACGTTGGCGTTCAGCTTTATATACCAATATTCCTACCCTGCACATTTGAACTATGAACCGAACACTGTTTTCCATGTTTTCTTGAATCGCATATATCCGAATTGTGTACCTTTATATACCTCCTTGTGCATAGAATTTTGTTTGGCTTGGACTGTGACGAATGTAGATCTTGTAACTTGGATCTCACGCGTGGAACTGTTGTCGAGACGAGGACTTCACTCCTCGAAGAAGAAAGAAAAGAGTCGAATGGAAAGTTCGACCGAGGAAGGTGAACTAAAGGAAAGGGTTGACTGGAACGGTCAAGAAAGTAATAAAACTCGATGTTCGCGGGAGAAGAAAAGAGTCGCCGAGCACGGGGAAATGCCACGGGAAATCGATTAGATAAAGAGGTATTGGCTTCTAGAAGAAGAATAAAGATTTGATTTTGACTACTAGACAATGTCCAGGGGACCTTTGGTTAGAACTCGAGACGAGAGTCCTCGAGATAAAACTGGGGAAAGAAAGATAAGGAGCGAGCCCCCAAGGGCTGCCCTTTTAACCTACAAAATCTACATGACTGATCTAAACTACCGTCGAACCATGAAATTACTTCCCTAATAATATACTTCCCGTAACATGGCTGTGTTACAAACCCGCCGTCGTCGCAAGAACAGCCCTCTTTTCAAACGACATCTCGGATAGAATGCCACCCGTCGTCGTAACAAACACCCTCGCACGCGTCCCCGAGGTCTTCCATCGTCTCCCATCGTCGCTCGCTCTGTCGTCGGTCCATCGTCACTCATCGTCGGTCCATCGTCACTCATCGTCGCCCATCGTCAGTCCATCGTCGCCCAATCGTACGCTATCGTCGTCTCTCAAATGGTATCCCACTGAAAGTCCGTCCATCATTAACGTCTTTAGTCCATCGTTAGTAGGACCCTGTCAGGGCTCGTGCAACCGCCGGGTCTCGATACGTACAACTACACCCTTCCTTTACCCTCAACGCCATTCGATATTATTATTCACATTTTCTCTTATCTATTTTATTTGTTACACCCACTTCATTTCAGCCCGCCGGTTCCTCTCTTGACTTTGACGCGCGACGTTCGCGGAGCGTGGGAAAGGTCACGACTGGCGCGCGCGCGCGCGGCCTTGCGGCTGTGCCGGAACTCTCGGATCCGCCGGATAATCTTGTGGACTTTAGACGCGCGCTTGGCAAGCTGTCAAACGGGTTTCGTATTGTGTATTCGAAGTACGTTTTTATTCTGTCATTCTTCTATCCCTTGTTCCGCCGTGTCGTTATTCTTCTCGCTTCTATTTCTTTACACTTGATTTCCAGTTTGCTCAGATGACTTTTTCGTACGAACGTTCTTGCCTAAGTATCTGTTCAGTTATTTTGGGGCCACATTCACCTTTGCCTTACCCCATTTGATATGATCGATCTGCAGATCTGTGATGCGCGTCAGGAATATGGGCCTCTGCCAAGAACATATGGGTGGCGATCATTTACCTGTCGCAAATTCTGGGCGCTGTCTACTGGAGCCGTCTTAGGCCATCATTTACATATGGGTGGCGATCATTTACCTGTCGCAAATTCTGGGTGCTGTCTACTGGAGCCGTCTTAGGCCATCATTTACATATCGGTTGTCGAGCAAACACTATCTAGCTAAGGTGGTCTACTCTAAGACTTACCAGGTAGAGTGTTATGTGAGGCTAACTAGTGGCTAACTACAAGAGTTGTGACGAACTCTGTCATCTATTCCAAGGCCAGGGAGGGCCGGTATTTATAGTTTACAGGAAGCGTGACAGATGTGACGTTTACTACATAAATATGGAAGGTGTGACGGGTGAGTAAGCGAATGAGTCATCATGAGTAAGAATGAGCGATAATGACGCGATATGGTGCAAGTATTAGCACCTACTCATGTGACGTTCCAGAATGTTCTACACTAGAATGTTCTAGAGTGTTCTGGACCAAGTCTCACTAATCTAATCTAATCTACGATATAATCTACAGATAAGATAAGATAAGTTCAACATCGGTGTCCATCATTTACCTGTCGCAAATTCTGGGTGCCGTCGACTGCTGCTGTCCATCATCTTTAGATGGCCATGTTAACATATGGGTGGCCATCATTTACCTGTCACAAATTATGGGTGCCGTTGACTGGGTGCTGTCCATCAGTTTTGATCGACTTCTCATTTTAACAGCAGTTAAGCCACATGTAGGCCCCTGCATTTCTGTCGCCGTGTTTTCCCTGTCAAGAATTATGGGTCCCATCTATGGGTGCCATATTTTCAATCAGCTGATAAGGCGCCCTGCCTGCTGCATATGGCTGCTTATATTTGGCCTGTCAAAAATTCTGGATGTTGTCCACCGGCGCCCTGCCGATCATCAGGTCCATCAAATTTGATCGAATTCCAATCAAGCGTAGTAGGGTTATAGAGAGAGAAAAAATGGAGTAGGGTCGGTCTGACCCTGGGGTCATATTGGACTGACCCTGGGGGCAGGGTCAGGGGAGAATATGGGTGACCCTGGGGACTGACCCTGGGGGAGAGGGTCAGAGGGGAATATGGGGGACCCTGTGGGGGGCAGGGTCAGGGGAGAATATGGTTGACCCTGGGGACTGACCCTGGGGGACAGGGTCAGAGGAGAATATGGGGGACCCTGGGGACTGACCCTGGGGGAAAGGGTCAGGGGAGAGTATGGGGGACCCTGGGCGCATCCTGCTCAAGTCTCTGAGATGAGGTGGTGGGCCGCTGTTGCTCTGATGTTCCGGGAACACCACTCTCTGAGTCTGGTAGTCGCCACCCTCTGTATGCGGTGTTCCAGGAACACCACTCCCTCAGTCCGAGTGTGACTCGCTCGCATGCGGTGTTCCAGGAACACCACTCTCTGAGTCGGAGTGGTCACCCTCTGTTCCAGGAACACCACTTTCTGAGTCGGAACCATACTCTGAGTCGGAGTCGTCACCCTCTGTATGCGGTGTTCCAGGAACACCACTCCCTCAGTCCAAGTGTGACTTGCTCGCATCCGGTGTTCCAGGAACACCACTCTCTGAGTCGGAGTGGTCACCCTCTGTATGTGGTGTTCCAGGAACACCACTCTCTCAGTCCGAGTGTGACTCGCTCACATGCGGTGTTCCAGGGACACCACACTCTGAGTCGGAGTCGTCACCCTCTGTATGCGGTGTTCCAGGAACACCACTTTCTGAGTCCGAGTAGTGACTCGCTCGCATGCGCTGTTCAAGGAACACCACTCCCTCAGTCCGACTGTGACTCGCTCGCATCCGGTGTTCCAGGAACACCACTCTCTGAGTCGGAGTGGTCACCCTCTGTATGCGGTGTTCCAGGAACACCCCTCTCTGAGTCGGAACCACTCACACCTGAGCTCTGGGTTTCTACATTTTCGCCCACACCACCTCACAACTTAGCTGCTCTGCCAGGCGTTCGATGCCCACAAAACAGTATATACTAAGGACAATTATATAATTCATACCCAACCTCAAGATACAAGTCGGCAAAGGGAATCATCAAGAAAGGTAAGTAAGTGGGTAGTACTATGAAAGGGAGAAGAGGGAAATTATCGACTAAAAGGGAAGAGAAGGCGCGTCCTGACAAAGGGAAATTCACCCAGCCAATTCCTAATCAATCCACAATCAATCACCAAGGCAGTCGCGAAGTAAAATGGCCACTTACCCACATCGGCTCCCCTCGAAGGATGAGAATTTTCGGTGCCGGGAGTCGCAGGTCAGCCCCACCGAACCTGGTAAATCGGCGATCGGGCCGGGTCTCCCAAACACCACCGTCCCCCCAAGGAATCCAGCAGAGCATCCTGAACAAGCGGAATAGGGCCTTCTTTGCCTCCACCACCTCTGTCCTCGAAACGCGGTAGGTGAATGCCACCCAATCGTCGTAGTACCTTCGAGAAGCAAACACTGGGTCTTCGCTTTCCCAGTCCCTATCTGGGAAGTGGCTGTCGAACACCACCATGAGTTCCTCTTCATCGCGAACCACAATCCACTGAACTTCCGTGAAGATGTCCGATAGGCGCAGGTTCTGGAAGATACCCATGTCAGCGTTGGCGAGCTGGGCGGGGGTTAAGGCGCAGAACGAGTCGGAGCTGTGGTTGTTGCGACGCGAAGGGACCTTCGAGGGGATGCCAGAGATGATGTCGTTGACATACTGAAGCCACATTTCCTCACACCACCGCGGCAGGCCGTGCGTGAAGTGGTGTTGCGTGAGGTGCATCGGTGGAATGACGATGTCGAGCCTGTCGGTGGCGTAAGCGTGTTAGGGTTATGGGACAACTTTTCAGAACTAGGGTCCACTCAACCCTGGATCCCAACCCTGCCCTGGGCAACCACCCTGGCCTCTACCCTGGACCAGCAACCCTGCCCTGCTAGGCACCCACCCTGGCCTCCACCCTGGACGAGCAACCCTGCCCTGCTAGGCACCCACCCTGGCCTCCACCCTGGACGAGCAACCCTGCCCTGCTAGGCACCCACCCTGGCCTCCACCCTGGACGAGCAACCCTACCACCTGGGCACCCACCTGGACCACCCTTGTGCACTCTGCCTTACAAACTAACCCCCAGGACAAGCTGCAGACGCTGCCGAGCGAAGTTCCAACCGCGCCTGGCCAGCTTCGCACCCTGCAGCCGGAGCTGCGCAGCGCGGCCTTCCAAGGATTCTGCAGCCGAACGAGGCAGCATGCTACTTCCAAGTTCCTACCACTCACCTCGGAAGGGCGCCGAGAATGCTCACCCTGATCCAATTGACCTTATAATCTCACACCACTATTAGCGATGCCCAAAAAACAACAAAATTGATTTTAATGCGATGAGATGAGATACATGTAGCATAAAAAAGAATAAAAGCGAACAAGGAGGCAGTCGGCCAGGCGATGCTGAAGAGTCACCCCAAAGAAGGTGTAAAGACAAGAAGATAAAGGCGATGAAGGAGGCGACAAGGAAAGAAAGCGCAAACAGACGGCAAAGGTGATGGAAAAGAAAGTGAGACGGCCGACGAAGAATGAAGAGTTACGATGAATAGGCCTCGTCTGCGAGTTTCTCATATGCTGCCCAGAACTTAGGGACTGCAGCGAGGCGGCGAATGGTAGGCTTCCAGTTGCGTATGGAGTTTGGTACCCCCTTCCCACTGCGCAGATGAGACTGCCTCTCCTGGAACCACGCCTCTGCTGCTGGACTCCACTCCCCGACATTTAAGCCACTCTTTGCCCAAGCACTTGGGGGTGGCCAAAGGAAGGTGATAGACTCCTTGTGAACCACACGGCCGTCGGTCGGTCGAGTTCGATATGCTCCAAGGATCAAATCGATCTCGTGCTCTTCAAGGCAGTCGCTGACGACATCCAGTGAGCGCATTGAGCCCATCCAGGCACCGTGGTCCAAGGCTACCGCACTTGGAGGCTTCAGAGCAGCGTCCCGCTGGCTTTTGGTTGCTTTGTCGATGGCAAATCGCCAAAGCAATCCGCCGGCCTTAAGTGCGAGTGCACCGCGGCGCGTAGCCAGGAAAGCATCGCGCATTTGTTCGTACTGCTTGTAGCTCTCCGCTGGCATGGTGGTCCCCCAGGGATACTCACCGATCGTGGGGCGGCCGACGGGGCGCCGCCGAGGTTGGTGCTTCATGCTCCTGGCAATTGCGGTGGAGAATGGCAGTCCACGACTGATCATGTACCTTCCGATAGCAAGGACGCCTGGCAAACCCTCTCGGGAGACTTGGTACAGGGTAGGACCACTGACGACCAAGACGAAATACTGCTCCTCCACGATCTTGTCCTTGATACCAATCACGTATCGCTTAGCGACCTCGCCGTTGGCCTGGGTGTACGAGATCTGCCACGACTGAAGATTTAAAGGCAACGAAGGCCTCGTGGCTACCGCGGCGAGATCCCACCGAGCAGAGAGGTCGCGCAGCGGGACTTTGCCCTGCCCGATTTCAGCAACGGCATCGACGATGGAGCGGAGGTCCTTCTTGGATGCTTTGGCAGAACCTGGGTACCCAAGGCACTGCAGCGATCTGCTCTCCACTGAACCTTCAGGGAAAAACGGCGAGACATTGGGCGACGAAGATCGCACAAGGTCGTACCCCAGACGTGCAGAGATGATGGAGCCGATTTCGGGAGGGCTGTCGAGAACGGTGGAGGTGGAAGAAGGGGGGTGGACTGATGAAGAGGGTGGGCCAGGGCGGGGAGGGTCTTCGTCGCCGTAATCGCTTTCTGAATCAGGGTCAATCGTGGCCCTGGGGGGACTGGGAGCGATGCTGAGGGAGGATTCGCCGTGCGGGGAGGGCAGTGACACGTCGCTGGTGTCTGGGTCGGGGGACGCTGGGCTGAAAAAGGAATCCCAAGAGGAAATCGAAAGTTGGGGTCGCGGTTCCAAGTTCAAGGGGGTGCCGTCGTCGGTAGTTGAAATGAGATCAGCACTCCCAGCTCCTGGTTGCAGGTATTCGCACAATTCGAATTCTTCATTGATGGGGCACCAGTATCTCTGAGCAAACGGAAACGCCTCGAAGAGGGCTTTCTTTGTACTAGCATCGACAGGTCTCCGAGACCACGCTCCTCTCTCGCATTCCCATACAAAAACACTGTATGCCGAGAAGTACGGCTGCCAGGTTGCAGACTCTCCTGGTCGCATCGCGAATTCCCGAGCTTCCTTCGACAGTGTGTGGCCATTCTCCCAGCGAATCCGCATTTCGCGCTTCATCGCGAAGTAGTCCGCAGGCGATGTCCCAGGCACGTAGTCACCCTGAATGAACCCATGGCACGCCAAAGCAGGAACGATGGCCTCCTCCCCACCGAGCGACACCGTCGTGAAGCTGGGTGGTGCAGGCTGCTTGAGAAGCTGGGCGAGAAAGTCACCATAAGCCGCGGAGAGCCTGCCAGTCCAAGGCCTCCACGAAGCCACCACACGCGCAAATTCTGGGTTGGACACCTGGTACGCAGCCTCGGTCGCTGAGGGATCGGCGCCTGCGTAGATCCACAGGGGTACACCGGCTTCTGCCCAGATGTGGGCGCAGGGAACCCATCGGGAGGTTGGTGCGGTCAGGTCGATGAAGTAACCCGTCCGGTTTCCGAATCCTGAAGTCGCCCGCGGTTGACGATCTGGCTAGTTGGTGAATGGCGGCCGACCAGTGGGGTTTGTTGACGTCGAACCATTTGATCATCGGGTTGAGAGGGTGTACGTGGTTGCAGAAGTTCCAGAACGAAAAGCAGAACGATATAAAGGTGATCAGTCGAGAGAAAGCGTTTCGAGATTTGCGGATGGCCTCAATCGCATCCAGCCTTGATGTGTAGGCATCCGAATACTTGAATTCTGAAGGCTTAGAAGGTGGCTTAAGAGGGGGGAGATGGGGGAGGTGCTCCGCTAGAGTTCTCGCGATCGCCAACAAATCGATTTCTAGAGATCGCCATGTTCGGCTGATGTCAGGGTGGAGGATGTAATCGTTTTTGAAGTCGAGGGTGGTGGCGTATGGGAGGGCGTGGTTAGGGATGCACAGGGGAGACAGGTAGGTCCCCTGGTTCGCTCCAAACGACGGGGTGAAGCCGAGCCAGGGTTCCTCGTCCGATAGCCACTGAGCCGAAGCGTACTTGTTTGAAGGTCCGATGGGAGGGTCGATAACGTCGTGTCTGGCATTGACGACAAACCAATATCCCCTGAAATTAGGGTGATCAAGGTATTGGCAGGAGATGTACTTCAGATTGTTCACCCTGGCCTTGACGTCTTCGCTGTGGTATGAACCTAGAAATCGCGCTCAGCGGTTAATGCGAAGACTGAAGCAAGTCGAGTGAACGTACGGAGGGAAGGCAAGGGGTTGTCCGCAGACGGAACAAACTTGCTCGCGAGAGTCGTCTCGAAAAGAAATAGCCCGCGCTCGTCCCCATCAGCACCTGGTGGTAGCTTCGATGTGCTGGGTAGTGGCGCGCGGGATGACGGAACCCTGGACGACGAGGCCCTGGACGACATGGTGTAATCGAGAGACAGGAGGTGACTTAGGTGGCGCAGACTCAAATAACTCTGGGTGTAAAACACCACAGAATCGCGAGGTCAACGAGAAGTAGAGCTTCGAGTGTAAAACACTGCGAAGCGATCCTCTCTATGCCAGATGAGCTCCTAAGGGCATATAATGTCAGAGCGAGGTAAAAGGTGATTAGAGTAACTTACAAGAAGCGCTCGGAAACGCTCTAAGCTTGATGGGAGCGCGGTAGGTAGGTAGGTAGGTAGTGGTCGACCGCAGAGGTTGATGATCGCGAGTCTGCATACGCGACCTCCGCCTGATGCTATTTCAAACTCCGCCTTGATCGAGATGCTTCCCGCCAGCGCGCTCGCAGTCGCCTGCCCAAGGCACTCATCGAACATCCTCATCCTCTGAGGTGCTGTGCACCCAGAAAGACAAGGGTGGAAGACCCTCGGTACGGGAAGACCTACATCCTCATCCTCTGAGGTGCTGTGCACCCAGAAAGACAAGGG